AGATTTTTGAGGCGTCATTGGCTTTTTATTTTTCATTTGTGTGTGTGGGAAAAAGAGAATTTGGAACCTGGGCCCCTTTTTTTGCGTTTTATTACGATGATTATGAGGTAGCATTTATATGGGGGCATATACAAATATGGAGGGACTTTAGAAAGATTTTTTTTGCGTTGGTACTACTGTATATTAAATTTGAACTTCTTGATAGGATTGTAGGGGGTGTTGGGATTGGACTGGGCTGGGCCGAGAGAGGAGGAGGATGGAAGAAAGATGATTTTGAAGGTACGGGGAGATAGAATAACTGTAGTAGGTACGCAAATAAAGATAGTGTGTGTGTTGGCATTGGAGTTGTTTGAGGATAGATGAATTTGATAGTGATGTTATGCTTCTTCGATCTACCCGGATGATCTACTCAGATGATCTACTCACATAATGGAATGACGCTCTGCTGGCCCTTTAGGGAGCCACTGCCGTGGAGGTACAATTTAAGGATACTCATGAAAATATAAGACGTACCTAGGTGGTACTCGGTCTGATACAGTTTCATCATTCATTCACTCGCATATGCATGGGTACAAAGCAGAGGCATTGTCAGGGGTAACAATGCCGGGAAATTTCACATTGCTTATTTTCGGTTACCCTGACAACAATTTACCCCAGATTTACCTTTACCTAGCACATCAAATAATCTTCCCGCGACTTTTTAAACCTCCTTCATTGATCAGCAAGGGAAACAACACTTTTCCAAATTCTCCCAATCATGGAATCGCCGACTGCAATAAATTCAACGTCTTCATTATTCGAAGTATATTTACGATTAAGACCTCCCCCAATATCAACTCAACAATTGTACCCCACGTTACCAATACCAGAGCGCTTTCTTACAGTTGAAGAACCCACTGAAGAAGAACTTGGAGATGGAACGGCATCTCCGACCCACATTACATTGAATCCACCAAATGACAATAGACGCAGGGCAGTGGAGAGATTCGCCTTCACTCGGGTGTTTGAAGAAGAAAGTTCACAATTGGATGTATTTCAAGGAACGGGTGTACTGCCTTTGGTAGAAGGTGTATTGGGACCAAATGGTGGAGAGGGTAGAGATGGATTACTTGCTACATTGGGCGTCACTGGCTCTGGAAAGGTTGATATCTTGGTTTGATCATGTACAGATTGAGTATGTGCTAATGTATCTATCGCAGAGTCATACAATTCTTGGTTCTCGGAGTCAACGCGGGCTCACACAACTTGCCCTCGATCTACTTTTTCGTTCCATTGACAACAACATTCTCGATGTTAATTCACACCCTGGATTACATGGTTCGATTGCAGCATCAGATCCATCAGAGGCCCAAGTTATGTCTGCGCAGATGTTTCTAGATACATATTACTTCGACCCAGCTTCATCTCGAGGAAGCTCGAGAGCCCCAACACCCCAGGTGGTACGCGTGCCCATTCCCTACCACCCAAGTCCAACCAAATTATATCCATATTTGCCCCCATTCCAGGCAACGGGAAGTCCTAAAAGCATCAGGATCGTAGTCAACCAAGATGATAGTAAAACACCAGGATGTGCGCCAGTGCCAATTCCAGGAGAATCGACAGTATCGATGACTTCCTTTATTCCCTCATTTATGCAAGCTACTGCAACAGCAGCCAGGAAAATGATTAGTGCTAAAACTCCTCAAAAGGGCGATTCTTACCAACCTCCGAGACGAACGATACCTACAAGACCATCGGTTTTGCCAAGCAGCCCGGATATTACAGGAATTACGGTCGATGTCGACCATCATGCGGAGTATGCGATTCTGATCTCGATGTACGAAGTTTATAATGATAGGATATTCGATCTTCTAACGCCAGCGGCACTAAACAAATCTACAAAGGAATCCAGAAGAAGACCACTACTATTCAAACCTACGGAGCAATCACCCGAACGAAAAGTGGTTGCTGGACTAAGAAAGATTATCTGTGGTAGCATGAAAGATGCTCTCATGGTTTTAGAAGCTGGTCTCAATGAACGAAGAGTTGCAGGGACTAATTCTAATAGTACATCATCTAGGTCTCATGGCTTTTTCTGTGTCGAGGTAAAGAAGAGGAGAAGATCGAGGACGCCAGGCAGTTGGGGAGGAAGTTCACTCACGGTTGTAGATTTGGCTGGAAGTGAGAGAGCTAGAGATGCCAAAACCGCTGGTGCTACATTAGCTGAGGCCGGAAAGATTAATGAGAGTTTGATGTATCTAGGACAGTGCTTGCAGATGCAATCAGATTTGGAGAATAATACAAAGGTACGTAGAATTCACTCTTTATCTCTATTTAAGGCTTCAAGATTTAACTAAAAGAAAACAGCCAAATCTTGTTCCGTTTCGCCAATGTAAACTCACCGAGCTTCTTTTCTCAAATTCGTTCCCATCTCATGGCGCAAAAACTTCTACATCCACCCACTATCATCGAAATCCTCAAAAAGCAATCATGATCGTTACAGCTGACCCATTGGGAGACTTTAATGCAACTTCGCAAATCCTACGGTACTCGGCTTTGGCGAAAGAGATCACGGTCCCCAGAATTCCATCAATCACGGCTACCATTCTCGGATCATCTCAATCGTCTGATAGACATCCAAGTTACACCAGTCCTACTTCTCCTACTTTCTCTCGATACCGCGATGGTTCACATCAGACACCTACCGATACCGAACGGGAAACTATGGAAATCGCGGCATTAGAAATTGCACGCATGTCTGAGGAAATCGATGGTTTACGCGGTGAATTAGAACGCGAATCAAGATTGAGAATGGAAAGTGAAGCGCATCTTCAAAGTATAGAAGACAGAATGTTAGAACTAGAGATGGAAATTCGAGAAGAATGCTACGAGGAAATGGAAAGGAGAATCCAAGAAGAAGGTAGAAAGTGGATGATAAGATTAGAGGAGCATGGAGAGAGGGAAGAGGAATGGAGGGATAGAAAAGTGGAAGTCGTAGTTCGAGGTTTAGGTGCAGGCATTGCTGGCATTGCTGGGGATGAAAATAAAGAAAATCATGACGGTGACCCAACGCTCGGACTTGAAATGGAAAACGCAAAGTTGTTGAGGGAAGTTGAGAGATTGAAGAGAGAGTTGAATAGCAGGAGTCCGACAAAACCTCGAAAACCTTCAAATAGAATCCTGAAAGAGAGCCGAACACATGCTACGGATAAATCAGCATCGCCAATTCCAGATGACGCCCCTGAGAATGAGGGACTGGAACTGCGGGACAGTATGGCGAGATTGAAGGTTGAAGATGACGAGGTTGGAGTCGCTAGAAGTGCGAGTGCAAGATTAAGGATTAAGAAGAGAGATGTAGGTCCAGGAAGTCCGACTAAGAGAGTTAGAAAATTGGCGCCGAGGAAGTGGGATTTTGCTGATGACGATGATTTTTAATTGCGGTTGGAGTAAATGGGATAACACATGGAGGATTACGGCTTGGCTTTGTGTGGGATGATTTGTACAATCAGTCAATCAATCAACGGAGTTTTCTCTTTGAGGGCAATCAATTAATCCGGATAGCATGTCCTGGGCTGGACTGGGTTGGGGTTGGGGCTAGGGCTGAATGGCAGTATTGGATTGGATGCATGGGACTGCGTGGGGAGAATAGAACAATTCTCCTGGCCAAAAATTGTTTTCGATACCTGTCTGGGATTTGTTTTTGGTACTTACTTTTTGTGTAATTTGATAGCTAATTCTTATTCGAATATGATCCTTTCTGAGATGGTCGTTGTATTGAGAAGATTCATGGTGTGAGGTAAATTGGATTGGTAATTTTATGCTCGTGATATTGTGGTCTACCGAATTCAATTTCTATGCCCTGAGGGTAAATCAAGAAGAAATTTGGGGCATAGCTGTAATAGCCCTTGATGGTTCAAGTGGATGAATAGGGGTATGAGAAATCAATGGGAAGCTGAAATAAGGACATGTCGAGTATTTATGGAGGATCTTAGTGAAGAGCTGGAGGAGGATGAGTGGAAGCTAGATCTCCATATACAAGCGATCCTCCTTCAGGATGGGAAGAGAAAATGTGTACACTAAGTTGATGGAAAGAATGTAAAAGTTTTACATCCAACTTTCCAGGAGCGGATTGGATAGGATCTGGGATTAAAAAATATGCTGGGTCAGGTTGGTGGTGGCCTTTGGAGGCAGTAGGAGGTGAGCTTTACATGCTGCTACCACATCATAGCAAATGATGCTTGAGATGTTGGGACTGATCAATGATTTGGGAGACGGTGGCCGGTCATTCGGGACCATGCAGAAGTGGGGAGGTAAGAGAATGTCTGGAGGGTATACATGCAGTATCACATTCCTTGAGCTTATGTTGAGCTTGATATTTTTCGATGATGTCATACTGAGACGAATGCAGTGCGGTTGAAACGGAGAACTGAGTTTGCTTCGTCATCGCTCTTTCCCGTGGCTTGTATCGCATGACTGTAAGGCAGAATCGCTGGATCAGAAGCAACATGGACAGGCACGCGATACATTGCACCCAAATTGTCAAGACAACCCATTATGAACGCATTGCGGAATTAGACTCAACGATCTGAATGTCTTCTCTACCACATTCTGCATCGCGCCTATTTTTGGAATTGCGGGAATTTGAATTGTCCGCATTGTTCGCGTTGTCCGAAGATATGTCAGATATTTAATTGATTTCAAATCAAGTGCTTACGCTCGTTTATTTTTGGATAGGAGGCCTTCCATAAATTTTGCCGAGTTTCCTCTTTAAATCTATCCGCATCCAAACATCAGGACCTTAATTACGAACACTTTTGAAGTAAATCTTTGAAACATTTATTAAGTTCAGTTCTAACATTGATATATTCCCGGTTACTCGTTTTTGGACTAGCTCACTTTTATACTTTCAATCTGAGAATAAAATAGTGAGTTTAGTAAATTTGTTTATACTTTCGCCCAGACCACTAGGTAGTTCTAACAGAATAAGTACAGGTACAATTTCTCTATCCGGCGCACCAAATATGTCTTCTACGCTCAAAAATGTTATCATAGTTGGGGCAGGCGGTAACTTGGGGATCTCGATCCTCGCTACTTTCGACGCCGACCCCAACTTCAATGTTTCTATCCTCTCTCGCAAGTCCTCTAAATCCGTCTTCCCAGCTCATCTAGTCGTTCACCGGGTCAGTGACGAGTATCCAGAAGATGAACTTCTGGAAGCTTTGAAAGGACAAGATGTAGTCATTTCAACTATAGCAACAACTGCTGCTGATGTGCAGCAAAAGACGATCATAGATGCAGCTATCAAAGCCGGTGTGAAACGCTTTGTACCATCTGAGTTTGGAAGTGACACGAGAAATGAAGAGGCTATGAAAATCATCCCGCAGTATTTTAAGCGTAAGCTGGACACGGTGGAATATTTGAGGGGGAAAGAAAAGGAAGGATTGACTTGGTCTGCATTTGTCACTGGTCCATTCTTTGAATTGTATGTAGGAGATAAACTGCCTCCCTCCCTTCTGCAAACTGGAACTGATTAATTTGGACAATAGAGCTGTGAAACTCTTCATGGGCTTCGACTTGAGAGAACACAAAGCTATCATCTACAACGAAGGTAAAGATGCCTATTCAACCACAACAATTGCCTCCATCGGGACGGCTCTCAAAAACGCACTACTCCATCCAGAGGAAACTGCGAATAAGCATCTCTTCATCTCCAGTTTTCATGTTTCGCAAAACCAGATTCTCGCTTCTCTTGAAAAAGCGACGGATAAAAAGTGGGATGTTACATATGTTGATGCGGAAGAGCAGAAGAAGATTGGAATGGAGAAGATGGAAAGGGGAGATTTCAGTGGTGCGATGGGGTTGATTAGATATATCAATTCTGTAAAGGGACATGGTGGGGATTATGCCGAGTATGAGGATATGTCGAATGAGTTGCTGGGGGTGCAGGGAGAGGATTTGGATAACATTGTGAGGGGAATTGTGGAGGGTTGAACTTAAGCGGGGTGGAAGAATGGGGTCTGAATTGTAGGTGTCAGTCTTCTATAGATGAAGCTCGAGAAAAGAAATCATGAATGCATATTTGAAGATCATCTCTAGTGGTAGTTCTTTTCGGTCAATACTGAATCAATGATGTGCAGTTTCTCAACCACGCCTTAATCCTCTCAACACCTTGTGAATCCCCGTCATATGTATACTTCTTTTCATCATCAACCCAAATAAGCCAGCGGGGCCATTGAGGAGCACGACTATCATCTTCAGGTATATTCAGTAAACTGTCTTCTTTTTTATCATCAAGATTAATAAGCCACAATCGATCATCTAGGCCTACATTTTCCCATACAATTCCTGCAGCATGTAGCTCTTGAACAAGTCCTTCAATTTCTGTAGCCCATCGGTGACGATGTTCATTAGAGTAGGTGTCAGAAGGTCCTAGCCTTTTGGGCGTGCCTTTCTTTTCGATGTACGTGAATAGAATATCAAGTGTGAAAGGTTGTTTCAAGACCTTGTAATCCGGGTCATCGTCCGCCACGAGATCTTTTAAAACCAGAGCTATTCTCACTAGGAATCCCTCATGGGTCCCATTTAATCCATTCCTCCTTAGCAAGACGAACTTGAGGTATTTCATCGACAATCACCCTGTGAAGGCGGCAAATTGGTATGTCGCTCCGGAGTTTCTTAGAATAGATAGGAGCAGAAATCTGATTGTGTGTCCACGGCTTGCCAAAACCCACTTTGGATATTGTACAGCCCCAATGCTTAAAGTAGCATATGGTGCCATCTACATCGATGACTTTGCCTGGACCGTGAAGGTTTGGATATTCTTTTGGGTTTGAAGAGATGGGTTGAAGACGCACTTCATATGGTCTTTCCAAAATATTACGAGCTAACCGCAATAGGCGATTATTCCTGGCAACTGCCCTTGGAAAAGAAGGCTTGATCACTAAACTATCATGGGCCTCTGCTATCACTTCGAGAACTAGGTGTGACATATAAAGATATTCGGATAGATAATCGATTGAAGGTATTGGAGTCGGGGCTAAAGAACTCATAAGTTCTTGAAATGGCTCCGAAGACGACTAATCTCATTTTCATGTCTCAATTCATCATCACCTCTCAGCCACACCTGTTTTACGAGACTGAGGAATTCGTCGTGTTGTGCAAAAAGATATGGTGATATAGCTACTTGAGCAGGACTATAAACGATGATAAAAGAAGCACCAAAATAGCGCATTGTGATCTTATCGTCGCCAGGGGGATCTCTAACCATAAATTTGACTTTCTTGAAGACGGATATTTGCTCCACGACTACTTCTGTAGGAAACAAGTCGGTGAATTCGGAATTGGGAAATGAGTTCACTGACCCTTCATTTGAGGACCAAAATGGCTGCTATATACTCATCCATTGGGGCAGGTTTGGCACACCCAGATATTTTGAATGCGGTAAAAGGAAATCATATGGTAACACAGTCTGGAAAATTCAAACACAACTTATATCTGTGACTAGGTGAGCTGTATCGGAACATGCGAGCATCGCAACGATTGCAAAGAGAATATTAATTGCTAGTAAGAGTGTATGAGAAGGTGTGGAACAATGAAACATTTGAAGGTCTATTCTCGTCCGATTGAATCCATTTTTCTTCAACAATATAGGACCAAATGCTAAGTAAATGGGCTGAGACCATGAAAGGGTGGCCGGCAATTCTTCTTCTTCTATAAGCATGACAGCCTCGTCTTGCCACCGTCCCTTGATGATCAGTGTTACATATACAGAACTGCGTTTGTAACTTAATGATAAGTAACCAATAGGTAGTGGGGTTGATAGGCCAAGCGGTATGGCTACCTGCAGACACCAAAATGTAATGAAAGGGCAGAAAGTTCTAGACCAGCTAGTAGAGAGTGACCGACGATCCCATATATGCTAACATGGCTGACAACCATGTATGGATTTTGTATTAGGTTCTCTGTTACACTAATAAAACGGGATCATCACTCTTCCAAATGATGACATGATTTTACTGTGATGGTTTGATCTGACTTCTTCAACAAGTGTTCATAGTATGCGCTTACTGTTGTCAATCCATATATTAAAGCATAATGAAAAATTCCCAAACTGATGCTCCGACTAAACAGAATTCCTAATACCATTCCAAAGTACCGTCGAGACTGCAATCTAATGGTGGCTGTACCACAGTTACATCGACACGCGACCGAGAGACATCAGACACGGGCCCTCTTGCGAAAATCTATCATATCTGCAGTGATCAGAACTATTGATCAATGACAGATTCATGCAGATCAAGCAACGGCAAAATGCAACACAACTCGGGAAACTTTCCTAAAAATTCGTAGCCACAGGCGACGAACAACATGGCATATCCCATTGCGGAGTCAAGGAGGGACGATCTGAGCCTTGTAATCTATTTCTGGAATTCATTCATGATACCGGCACTCATCATTGGCCTCGCTCGCCTCGGTACGTGACAGTTGACGAAGAGGAGAGATCATGTTTCCATGTGACCTATGAGTAGTAAGTATGCTTGAGAACGGGCGTAGTCAATTCTTGCCTTCTAGTTCTCTCACCGTACTCGGTTGCGATTAGCTTTAGATAGTGCCCCCCGCTACCCCGCGGTAATAATATATTTATGGGGGCTAAGCGTTACCCCGCACCACTGCGGATTTACATCCGCGGTGATCTCGTTACTTCTTCAAGTCTTGTAGTTGATTAATGCAGTGATTTTGTGGTGGTGGTGTTTCAGATTAGTTCTTCATGTTGGTAACATACTAATCATCTTCATTCCTTTACTCCTTAGCATGCGGAAAGTTGTGATGTGAATCCCCATTTGTCCGATCATACTTCACTTTACTCCTCAAATGGCTGGAATTCCAAAAGCTGAGCCCATCTGTCCGAGGATGCTCTGCTCCTCAAATAGCTTGAAAATCCTGAGCTGTGGGTGCTAGTGCATATAATTGGAACATTCGGCGTGCCATCAAGGACGGAATGCAACACTGTCTTGTACCCTCTATTCCAAATCAGAACCTTGTATATTACATATTCAGCTTCTATTTCTTTGGGTTTGATAAGCAGCAGCTAGCCACTTCAAGATACCCTTTCAGATTTTCATACATAAATACCGAGATCACCTTCAATATTGTTTCTCCTGATAATCACTTTTTTCAATAGCAAGCGCGTAAGCAATTAATCATGGGCTCATTACAGATTGAAGAAGTAGATGTGCTACTAGTAGGAGCTGGGTTTGGCTCTTTTACTATGCTAAATAAGTAGGTTCAACTCTGAAATCGAATGCGTAGTCGCTAATAAGTCAATAAGGCTTCGGAAGCAAGGACTCAATTGTAAGATTTATGAGAAAGGTTCGAAGAGTGGAGGTATCTGGTACTGGAATTGTTATGTACGTTTTTGGGCATGTTATATGGCTCTAAAGCTAATGTAAAATAGCCCGGTGCTCGAGTCGATTCTGATGCCCCAATCTATCAGCTATTTGACAAAGAGTTATGGGAGGACTTTACATTCAAAGAGAAATTTCCCGGTGGCAGCGAGATTCGTCGATACTTTGAACACGTTGAAAAGAAATGGGATGTTCGGAAAGACCTTGAATTCGACAAGCATGTTGATGGAGCTACCTTTGACAAGCAACGCAATCAATGGCTTGTAGAATGCTCAGATGGTTCCGAAATCTATTGCCGATGGTTCATACCTTGCATAGGATTTGCATCTCGTCGTTTCACCCCTCCATTTAATGGACTTAGTAATTTCAAGGGCGACATATATCATACAGCAACATGGCCTCAGCATGGTGTTAATCTAAAGAACAAACGAGTTGGTCAAATCGGAACTGGAGCAACTGGTATTCAGGTGATTCAGACCATTGGACCCGTTGTTAATCATCTTACCGTCTATCAACGAACACCCAACTACGCCTTACCGATGAATCAAGGACTTCTTGACCCGGAAGAAGAAGCCAAAAAGAAGGCCGAAGGCAAGTATGAAGAAGAATTCGAGAAAACACGACATACATTCGCTGGTTTCCCATATACCTTTCTAGAGAAAAACACTTTTGATGACACGCCAGAAGAACGGGAAGCCACCTTCCATGACCTACTGATTAAGCAAGGCGGTTTCCGTTTTTGGCTCAACAACTACAAGGACATACTTTTTGAGCAAGACGCCAACGATGAGGCCTACAAATTTTGGCGCAAATCAGTACTTAAACGTATTCCCGACCCCAAAAAGCAGAAGCTCTTGGCACCAGAGATTCCACCTCACCCATGGGGAACTAAACGCCCTTCTCTAGAACAAAACATCTATGAAGTTTTCTCTCTGCCACACATTGATATTATCGATATAAACGAATCGCCTATCTTAGAAGTCAGCGAAAAGGGTATCAAAACCAAAGAAGGAGAAGTAGAATTCGACGTTTTGATTCTCGCCACGGGGTTCGACTCCTGTACTGGATCGCTTGCTCAACTCAATATTCGAGGCATAGATGGCAGTACCATTGCCCAGAAATGGAAAGATGGAACACGCACAGCTATGGGTCTTGCAATGAACAACTTTCCCAACATGTTCTTCCTCTACGGGCCTCAAGCGCCTACTGCATTCTCGAACGGACCAAGCTGTACCCAATTCCAAGCGGAATACCTTGCGGACACGATAAAGGCATTAAGCGAGAAAAGTTTAACTTACTTTGAGGCAAAAAGTGAAGCGGAGGAGGATTGGAATAGGAGGATGACCGAAGCTTGGAATAAATCTCTGTTTCCGCTGGCAAAAAGCTGGTATCAGGGGGCAAATATTCCTGGAAGGAAGGTTGAACCGCTCAACTGGTAAGTTATTCTCCCCTATTTTCCTACTTCCCTTTGTGGATGTTAACATTATCATAGGGCCGGTGGTATGCCAGAGTACACAGCAACATTGGCGAGAAGTAATGAGAATGACTATCAGGGTTGGATTGTAGCATAGGACCTAGTATTTACTGTTGAGCAATCAGACGTGTGAGCACTTATCTGAGCGGTGTAATAAGTTGACGGTAGGATGTATAATCAATTTTGTGTGTTATATAGGAATTGGTTTTTCGGATCCCTTTTAAAAACTCATTACTTACCACTTCATGGGGCACAAATTCTCCTTCACAATATGCGTGTATCTGTGTATGAGGACCACATCCCCGCGTTCGTTCTCCTCTCTCTCGCCTGAGAATTACCCGTTTTAACGAAATTTATTCGCTCTGCATCCACTCCTTTAGATCACTAGCGGGTATACCAGAATCATGGCCAGGAATTGGAACCTTGATGCACGTTATTCACAAATTTTCGGTTCGCACGCTTTGAAGAAACGAAGTGTTCAGAATACGTCGCTTTTCGATCGTTAATATCGAAGACGAACAGTGAGGAGGTCCGATGTTACAAGAGCACCCTTCGTTTGATCATGGAATATAGCTAAAATCGAGTTGTTGATGTTTGAATCGAATAAACACGTGATAAGACGCCGTGTGCATGTGACTACACTGCCAGGCTTTATCGGGACAGCGAAGACGGGAAATGCAGCCTATGGTAGGCATCACAAAAATGTTACATATAACAACGAATGAACTCATCACGATATGAACTTGAGGCTGAGCGGCATTGAGTAGAACGAATCAAATGAAAAAGATATTTTGATCCCTACCATTTGAACCTCAATTGGACTGACCGGGTATCACGTGGCATACACATTGGTTGCCTGCCAAGAAAATGTTTGGCCGCAGTGTGTCAATGGATAAATATATATTGAGGCCTCTTCGCGCCCTCGCGACCTTTTTTTCCTTTCTTTACCACACCATTCGGGTCGACTACCAACATTCAAGAATCTCATTACTGTCACTTAGTACAATTTTGAGATTTCTTCCGAGACCCTGTCAATCTTTCGTTTTGTGTGTCAATTCAATCACCTTTCTCTCCCTCCCCTCACATCCGAATACTAATTTCGACACTCATTCAACTACCCCTCCAAGTCCATATATCGATCAATTCACAATACATCCGAAGCAGCCATGTTCAAGCGTTCCCATAGATCGAATGATCGTGTGGAAAAGAACATTAAATTGAAGAAATCATATAGGGATCCCGCAAAATTGTCGAAATTGCAGAAGTCGTTCGATCAAAGCTCGCAAGACTCACCCAATGCGAGGTAAGACAGGCTGATCATGTTGCTGAATATGAATTCTAGCTTGAGTTGAATTTAAACTGATGGGACATCACTATAGTGGTTTGACCTCACCAATTGTAACATTTACAGTTGGCAAGGAAGGACGACTGTTTGCGGCGCATGAAGATGTTCTTTCCTTGTCTCCATACTTTGCGACGGCAATGAGAGGACAATTCTTCGAGGCGCAGAGTAAGAGGATCACTTTACCCGATGAAGAACCCGAAATCTTCTCCTGTGTTCTCGAATACCTTTACGTATGTTCACCGATGACGTAAAATGCACAGTGGTCATCTCGGTGATACTGACAAATTTACAGAAGGGTGACTACTATCCACGTTTGATTCACAACAAACGCCGAAACTCTTGGGAGCTTGAGGATGCAGATCATTCACCCAACCCCGAAAATATAGGTGGCCGCGGGTCGGTAGAGGCTACAAGTTATATATCCAGCGTGGGAGAACACCTTTTAAAGGATACTGTCATATACTGCGCTGCGGAGAAGTATGGTCTCGAGGAACTCAAACGCGTTGCTCTTCGGAAGCAAGGTTTACAGAGTGAAATCGAGGTTGCTACAATTCTTCGTAGTGCTCGGTATGCTTATGACAACACGCCAGACACGGACTCTAGGCTACGCGCTCATTATCTTGCCTTGATTATCAGATGTCGTAAGACATTTAAGAGGAGCGGAACCATGCAGACAGAAATGGAGAGTGGCGGTAAACTTTTTTTTGACCTTTTCGTGGCATTATGCAATCATGTGGATGATATTGTGGATATTGGGTCAGCCATTTTTCCCCTTTTCCACGAGCCACTGATCTACTCTCTCACAGGTTTACTGACTTCTAAGATAGAAATTCCAAATCTCCAAAAACCATCTGAAGTGTTGCATGTTCCATGTTAGGTATTTCGGCACGGCGTCAATTGTTTTTGAGATTGATCATATATCTCCATCAAATTTGGTACCCATTTCGGAGATTTTTGCGATGCTTGCACCAAATTCCTCCGCCTCGACACACGAGGTTGGCCATCTTTTTGATGATTCACGAGATTAATTTTCTATCCTTTTCTCAGTCATACCCCTTGCTATCTCGCTCCGATGTTGTTCTTTTAAGCGGAAGGAACTCGCGTTTGCTTTTTCTTGCTTTCTGTACTGTTTTGCTATCAACTTTCACAAATTGCTTGACTTACTCTGTGGGTATGTTACTCGTTGCGTTTGGAATTGAAAAGGAAATGGTATAGATGGATCTACTGGTCGGGCGACTTCTTCGCACCACTTTTCTTATTTCTGTTGGGATGCATGGAGATGCTGTAGCTTTAGTTGTGTGCATGATCTTGATGATTATGTACGGGCGGTCCCTAGTGGATGCGCCAGCCTAGGCCCTCGTCAGGGCATTATAATGAGAGATTTGGCCACCTCAATCCTAAACTCTAAATGCGTGAAATAATTGCTTCAATTTTTGTTGGTTCTGTCTTTGCCCTGCTTTTTTCATACAAAGCTTACAATCATTTGTTTCATCTCGGTGGTAAGTAAGATGTGTTCACGGTATTCTATTGAGAGTGTATCGAATACTGTTACTATCCTAGGCCGAACACTGCCAAAGCGAAGTATAGCCACGTGCACGCTCACTTGCATTACCAATCTACCAATCGGAAGGGCGCCATTAAGGTGGCTGGCCCAACATTAACCTTATCTGTGCGTCCTGGAATGTCGGGCCGTCAAGCGATAAGAGGTTGAACTGCCAACAGCGCGACGTCACTGTCAATCATGTCATATATATACATCTAGCATTTCATTGATGGTAGTTCTGCTTTGTGCAACAGCTATTATATTGATTGTTAAAACTTATCCTTTCACATACGACCATAGACTGAAGAGAATTGGGCATCCCGTCCGCTCTGCCATACACAAGCTTCAGATCGGTGGATTAGTAGTTGGGTGGGTGACCACCAGCGAATCCCCACTGTTGTATGTCCTTTTTGCCATCTCTTGTTTTTGCTCTCCTTTAGAAGGGTGGCTACATCATGTCCCAAACGCAGACCGTTCACCAAAGTCTCTCTACTGAGATCCCCCTTTCCGTACTTAGGCCAGAGACAGTATCATCATTACAAAATATACCATCTCGCCCCCTATCTGACCCATCGTCATCTCCTCTTGAATCAACATCGAATTTTGCCCTGATCCTGAAAATTACATCATCAATTCTTGCTTTTTTCACCGCCGGTCTCAATGATGGCAGTCTCGGTTCTCTCATCCCTTACATATTAGACACATATTCGCTTTCCACATCGTCCATCGCCTTTCTATATCTCTCCTGCTTTCTCGGCTGGGTATTTGCGGCAATTAGTATTCCCTTTCTCCAAACCCATCTACGTCTGGGTATTGGTGGGATACTACTTCTGGGTGCAAGTTTGCAACTTTTGACTCAATTTATAAGAATCTGGGGATCTCCATGGCCATTATTCGTAGTGAGCTTTGGTCTGGCGGCTCTAGGTCAAGCATACCAAGATGCTCAAGCAAATACTTATATAGCCCAGGTTGGTGACAAGGCACATCGGTGGTTGGGCGTGGTACACGCGGCGTATAGTGTGGGGTGTTTGCTTGGTCCATTGGCTGTAACTGCCGTTGCAACCGCCAAGCCGGTGCACTGGATGGAGAGTTATGGGGCTTTGGCTGGAGTTGCAGGCTTGAATGTTTGTTTGGTGGCTTGGGCCTTTGCAAGAGATATAGTGATCAAAACGCGGCATGATCAGGACAGTGAAGAACAAGGTGAAGAGGATGAACAAAGTGATCATGCAAGAAGAGGAAATGCAATGTGGAGAGATATCGGGGAAGTCCTGAGAGAAAAGAGTGTCTGGATTATCAGTTTTTTCTTTTTCTTTCATTTGGGCAGCGTCATAACCATCGGCGGTTGGCTAGTGACTTACCTCCTTACTCTCGCGCCCAATTCAGGAATCCAAGCCTCATCAATTGGCTACCTTCCCACTCTCTTCTACGCAGGAAACGCACTCGGTCGTCTCTTTCTTATCGAACCTACTCATCGATTCGGTGAAAAGCCAATGATCCTCCTCTATTCCTTCCTATGCATCATTCTACAGATCATTAGCTGGAGACTCTCCAATCTAATCGGCAGTGTCGTCATCGTATGTTTACTCGGATTCCTTCTAGGGCCGTTTTTCCCCGCTGCAATTACGCATACCAAGCTACTCCTTCCGTCGAGAATCATTACACCTGCCTTGAGTATAATTTTTGTGATTGCTCAGGCCGGTGGAAATATATTCCCAGCTGTGACTGGTATTTTGGCGGCGAATTTGGATGGTGGGGACGGGGGAGGAGCTAGAATTTTGCAGCCAGTCGTTTTAGGGTTGTTGGGGGTATGATGGGGGTTTGGTGGTTTGTTCCTGGTGTTGTAAGGAGGAGTGAGTAGTCTGGTATGGTGGTAGCGTTGTTTGTATTGCAGTGAAAGATAATGAACGTATAACGATGTAAAATTGCGAATAACTCATGGCACTTTCCAACCTCGAATGTCCTCAATTAGAGCTAGCAATCATTTCAATTGTCACGAGTCTCAACTGCTATGGCCTTTAATCCGATTTTTCTTAGCTGCGTATCATATGAATTGGGGGCTGATGCAATTATGTGCTGTAAGATTGAGGCTTATCCCGACCCCTGCACTCGGTGATGTCAGCTTTCTTATATTTTCCCTTCAACACTTGTAAACTTGACAGTTTCGACGTGAACTGAAATTCATTTCTATGCGCATAAAATCTTCGCACTCTGCGTTTTAGCTGCATAATCTCCTTAATCGAGTAACATGGGTCCCAAACTGCCCAATATTGTTGCAGAGATTGACAACCCATATTATGATTTCCTCTATGCGCACAACAACCAGATTCATTATTTGGAGATTCTACAATATCCTTCTCAGCTTGTTCAAAGATTGGAGGGTGGATTGAAGGATGATAGATCTCTAGAAGACTGGCTCGCAAAGGTTGGCTAATTCATCAGTCCAACATGTTTGAGAGCGATGAACAAGGTTATGTACTGACTTGCACTAGGATCTGACTGTCGATGGTAATCAACCTGAATGTGGCATCCGTATTCTGTATGTATAGTCCTCCTCTGAATGTTTTATTGTCTGGGTCTTAAGACTTGTTTGATTTTCTGGAATTCAGGGTAATATTAAAGGGCATTTGTAGTTTCACGCCAGAGGGAGTACGCAAGCCATCTTTCCGTTGTATTTTTTGAGAATGGATGAAGAGATCGGTAGTATAAGGACTTGCAGTCGGGACTATTGACCGCACAGTCTAGCGTGAATCTGGTGGCTAATTCGTATAGTACTGGAAAAGGTTGGAGCAACGCAGATGCTACATCACCCGGCGGTTGGACAGCAGCTTTGCCCTTCACCAAAACTTCCTATTCTAAGATATTATCTGCTTCGTCTTTTAATATTCCAAGTAACTTCCTTCAAATCCACTGTAGTGGGATCACTCGATCTTTCAAAACTACTTCTACAAGCTCTCAAACCGAATTGTCAGCAACCCTAACGTTCAAACTCGGATCTGCCATCAATGACTGGGATCTCCTTACCTTGACTGAAATCTCTAGTACTCGCATAATCACTGGACTTTTCATCGCGGACGAGGACGTAGATATCGTTCCTTTGCCATTCAACGTCGATTCATACCTGGGAGTTAGTCAACCTTGGTGTATCGCTAGGCTATTCATACGCCATAAACTAGAGCAATTAGATTTCAGAACCGAAAATATGGATATTTCTATCAACACAATCGAAAGTGCTACTGGTCAGCACGATAGATGGGTAGATACCGACAAAATACAAAATTCTAACAATCAAGATAATGAAAACGATGTTTCCTCTATAGATCCATTACATGTAGACTTTATAGGTACAACTACTGATTTGAGCAAAGCAGAGCATGGTGTGGCTGCACTTTCAGTTTGTATCAAAGGATTAATTTTGGCAACAGAAGTGTTAGATGAACTGAATCAGGAAGAGAAGCAGACGATTGAAGAATTGAGGGATCGTTGCGAGCATATGCTTTTAAAAATCGAGTATTTACTGATGAGAAAGGATGCTTTACTTTCTGTCGTAAGTCCCTTGAATGATATACAATCCTCTGTTCCAACTATTTACCTTTGATTCAAAGATTCAACAATTCCAAGCAGAAGCCTCTGCTCGTCGTGCCATATTCCTGACGGAAGCTTCCACCGACCTCGCAAAAGCGAGTAGAAAGGATAGCGAAGTCATGAAAATCATAGCTATAGACACAAAACGAGACTCAAAAGCCATGAAAACGATCGCTATTCTAGGAATGGTTTTCTTGCCGGGAACTTTCATCGCGGTGCGTCACTCGTGCTCCTCATTTCACTTCTGCTAACTTTTGAAAAAGTCAGTCTTTGCAATGCCGGTTTTTACTTGGACATCTGACGGCTCCATGATAATACAAAAAGGGTTTGGATATTACTGGGCTGCCACAATTCCGTTGACATTGATAATATTGGTGGCCTGGGGTGTAAGCATGGTAATTCCACATCGTCGCAAAGGAGTGTTAAGCGATGAGATTGAACTGGAGAGTCTTAACCCCATATCGATTAACAAAAGACCGACAAATAATATACTCAGATCTTCAAATTCGTTGAGTCGGAGTCGGAAGCCTTCAATTGACGGCGCGAGATCACAAATTTCTTTACGCCCTAGTCAAAGATCCTCGAATCACAGAGCCAGAATTTCTACCCGGAGTTTGAGAAATTCTGCGAGCAATTGACGAATTTTGAACGATAACCGAAACAGATTGCGAGCAACGGTGAGAGCATCTGGCGTAAGTCAATTGACTTCGGATGATAGCTATAGAAGTATCCACACAATCAGCAATAATGAATTGGAGGACAGAAGGCCACTTGGTGAATATTGACTTCTCAGTATATATAATTAGCCCCAATGGGATTTCTCAGTCTTCCAAATCAAATTCGAACATTGGATATCCCTTCATATCGAATACTAGAGAATATACTCTGGTGTGTGATTTGTATCGTATAAAGCGTAGGTACTTCTATTTCCTCACTCCTCTCCGCTCTCGCGAATTTACCCCTTCATCTGAACCGAGATGGCTCCGCGCACCGTTGGACAACCATCATTAAACATGACCATGAGCGGCCGAAATGTTCGGATGGTAGTCTACACCTCCTGATCGCACTTGCAAAAGATACTGGGAGTTATGGTCTGATATATCTGTCCAATGAACCAATACAGCATCTCAACAGCGAATCAAAAAAAATCAAAAAATATGGTGGAGACACTAATATTGTCGTTCACTTAACGTTATGGGCCAAGACGGCTTTGATAATTCTTCATATCCTTGATGCTTTCGATTTTCAATACGATCAGTTCGATTCAGCCGACAATAACATAAAAGAACAACTTTCGTAACACCATACACCTCCTTACTCCGATTATGGAAAGAAACCCTTCGCTACTATTTCATCAATTGATTCTGTTCCTGACTTATCCGTCGAGATCAATGCGGGGCTTATCCACCCCTCTATCAATTTAGATGATTCTTAGCGTCTAATTGTGCTAAAGCCGTAAGAAACCGAAGTGATAGCTAGAGCTTCAAACATATAATTGTCCGTTGTTCGGCGCATCGATGTTCTTATCATAAAGCAAATAATAAACGCGATAACACCGATTGTTCTTCTTTTCGAGGTAGGCATATCCTCTCATTATACTTTATCTTCTTTCTTTGTTTCTTTGGTTCGAAAAGTCCTCATTCATCAATCATGCTCGCAAGAAACATCAAAAGCTCTAGAAGCTTTCAGACAATTAATCGTTGTTCATTGATTGCTTCTTACAAATGTGAAGCTTCAATACGTCTACCCCGCACCAGCACATTGGGTGGTACCATCACATCAAGTACAGGAAAGAGATGCAACATGGCCACAATTGCAAGCTTTAAAATTCCAAAGGTGGTGAACGAGCCAAATGTAAGTTGTATCCAGAATATAGAAGTTATAGCTTGATTTCAAAAGAGCTACGGGAATGCTAATGGATGATATAGCATCATTATGCTAAGGGATCCGCACAACGCGATGGACTTTATAAGGCATTGGAGAGATTGGAAAGTAAGGCTCCTTTGGAAGTCCCATTGGTAGTCGGAGGTAAAGAGGTCAGTCTTGGTCGTTTCTCACAGTCTAGTAAACGAAGCTAACAATAATTACAGATTAAAACCTCCTCCGTCTCCCACCAGCTTAACCCAGCCGATCATTCCTCGAAAGTCGCAACTTATTCCAATGCCTCCCCATCCGATGTTTCCTCCGCAATCGATGCCGCCCTCGCCGCAAAACCTGAGTGGGAATCTCTTCCTTTTGCAGATCGAGCCGCTATATTCCTAAAGGCCGCAGATCTTATCTCTGGCAAATACAGATATGAAATTATGGCTGCTACAATGTTGGGACAAGGAAAGAATGCTTGGCAAGCTGAGATCGATTCTGCTGCAGAGTTGGCAGATTTCCTCAGATTCAACGTTCAATATGCCGAAGAATTGTATGCGCAACAACCCGAACATCATTCACCGGGTGTCTGGAATAGACTCGAGTACAGACCTTTGGAGGGATTCGTCTACGCTGTTACTCCATTCAATTTTACAGCAATTGCGGGTAACTTGCCCGGTGCACCAGCTTTGATGGGAAATGTTGTGGTTTGGAAACCATCCGATTCCGCCATTGCTTCCAATTGGTTATTGTACAACATTTTGCTCGAGGCTGGCCTCCCTAAGAATGTTATTCAGTTCGTACCAGGAAACCCAGTTGAAGTCACAAAGGTTGTTTTGGAACATAAGCAATTGGCTGCTCTTCACTATACCGGAAGTACTGCTGTATTCAGAAAGCTCTATGGATCAATCGCAAACGGGGTTGCCGAGGGTAGGTATCAAGGATATCCAAGAATTGTAGGAGAGACAGGAGGAAAGAACTTCCATCTTATTCACTCTTCAGCTGATGTAGAAAATGCCGCTCTCAACACTGTTCGTGGCGCTTTCGAGTACCAAGGTCAGAAGTGTAGTGCTACATCAAGAGCATATGTTCCCAAATCTATCTGGCCTCGATTCAAGGAAAAGCTGGTTGAAGAAACATCCAAACTTTCAATCGGATCTCCAAAGGATCCAAAGAACTTTATCGGTCCAGTCATTCACGAACCATCGTTCAAGAAACTCTCAGGAGTCATCGACAACGCCAAATCCGACTCCGAGCTCGAACTCCTTGTAGGAGGCAAACACGATAATTCAACCGGTTACTATATCCATCCAACTATCTACCAAACCACCAACCCCAGACACCCTCTTCTCTCTACTGAGCTTTTCGGTCCAGTTCTTACAGTATACGTCTACGATGATTCTTCAGCTCCAGCTGAAGCTTTCGAGTCAGTCTGCAAGCTCGTTGATACTACATCTGAGTATGGACTTACGGGCGCAATTTTTGCGACTGATAGAGCCGCGATTAGATATGCGGAAGAAGCATTGAGAAATTCGGCAGGTAATTTCTATGTCAACTGCAAGAGTACCGGCGCTGTGGTTGGACAACAACCTTTTGGTGGTGCAAGAGCTAGTGGAACAAACGATAAGGCAGGAAGTATGAATCTATTGGGTAGATTTGTCAGTGTGAGAGCATTGAAGGAAGAGTTCGTTGCCATTGGAAGTGTTGAATACCCAAGTAATGAGGTTTAGAGGGGAGGATAAAAGTTGGTGATCATTGCAGTGTCCTATGCGACGAGAAATGATTAAATTTATATGAGATGACGACATGAATGGAAGAGATTATCATCTCATGGAAATCGGTTAATGGATTTGGCAAGCGATTTTCTTTGGACCTGTTGTATGACATGCACAGATGCATCTTTCAGGCTTTGTATTTAGAGCGAATTTTGAGTGTATATGAAAATACCAAATTGAGATTTTAGGAGTAAAACATGATGAAATCAAGATATTAATTGCTCCTCATTTTACAGAGTATTATGATGTCGTCCAAGTCAGTCTTTGATATATGGAATGACAATGTGATTCTTGGAAACACTTACCAACAGTTGGCTTGAAAACACATCTATCTAGAAGAAGATCAGATAGAATGTCTGTGTAAACCAATCATGGATAATAGCAAGTTGCAACGTTCATGTCTCACTCACCCCCATCAAGGCATAGTCACTTCAAGACTTTCAGGGAATTGATCATTAAAATCACGCAGAAAATCACTTTGAGCAGGACAATTACGACGTCCGTCCATCCTCCATTCACTTATCCGCTTAGAGATCTGATCTTAGGACTAGGTCTCTTTCCCGCCATCATCCGATGGAGATAATCCCAATGAATCCCCATCATCGCTACTTCACATTGAATCTGTTGATCTCATTCGTAGATAGAAGAAGTACTGTAACAAATGGTGTACTCTTCAAAATTTCTCATTTCATTTCCTCTCAATTTATCTAATCTTACGCACATCTATTCTAATCATTTCTTCATTCTCATTCTTCTTCCTAAAGTTCATTCAGAACTTATTCTTCGTTCTCAGATCACAATGATATCATTCGTGTCTCCATTATCCAGTCCCAGCAATCATCCACCTCGCTAACCAAAACTCCTAAGCCAAAATCAACCCAATCTATCTATGAATAGGTACCAACGCAAACCGACGGACGTCTTTTCTTTCTACATCCCACGTCTTTTGGCCCCCCGTATTTTCGCCTATCTATCTCTATCGCCCATCTCATCACCAGATCCCCTGTTTCTCCTTTAAAGGCCACTCAATCCCCTCTCTCGTCTGACTGTAAGCAGACTAGTACTAATCTTGAAGCTCATCCTCGCCTCAAAAACATACGTTTGTGGCCAGCTATGCAACTTGAGTAGTTTCTCTTCACAATCGAGTACTTTTTCCTTCCGATACTCTATTAATTTTCCATCGGAAACCTTCCCTTCCGAAACTGTATCTCCCGCTGGGGACAAATCTTTTTCGTGCCAGGAGCAACATGCTAATTCGTAGTAGGCGGAAGGAAGAGTCCAGTCATCTCTAAGAGCGCCACGTGCATGCCTGGTATACGTTAGTTATGGCGTTCAAAATAAACACAGATATAAAGAAGAGAAATACCTTTCAGAATCCACAATTCCCCCTGTCAAGATCTTTCTCGCCTCCTCATACCTCCCCATATTTCTCATCACACATCCACGTAGCAAAAGATGAATAGCCCCATCATCCTCATCCTCATTACATTTCTCCGCACAAGTCATTCTCGTCTCCTCGAGAAGATCTAAGCATTTCTGCAACTCCACATTTCCACTCTTCTTAACTCCATTCCAGAAGTATATCATTTCAACAAAAGGACTCGGTCCAATTGCATCTATAAGATCTACATTCCATGTTTTAGCTCTTTGTTCCCATTTACCCACTTTGCTTACTATGTAGATATCGAATGGAAGTTGCTTAGCCATCACTTTTTGTTTACCTGCTAGAGGTGGAGCTTTCATGAGAAATTCGGTAGCTTTTTTCTTATGAATCTTAGCTGCTGTAGGATCACTGACTCGGGTATTGCGATAGAGTTCGACGTATGAAGCACCAGCCATGTAGTGGTATAACGTTGGACTCCAAGCACTCTGCTCGCTGCAGTTGATCCATGCCGTCGCCGATTTTTGATATTCGTGGAAGAATAAGGTAGTAAGAGCCATCTCAAATGTATTGATCATAGCAATTTGTTTCATCTTACTCTTAGAGTTCTCTTCCAGAATTTCAAGGGCACCTTTCAAATCTTGGTTATAAGATAACATGCGAGCTTCCTCTAGTTTCCACAACCTAGAATCAGGGTGTCGAGCTTTCATTTCAGCTAGAAGCGCCTGGCATTTCTTTTGTGGATATCCCGTAAGATTTTCGTCAGCTCCTGCATCGGTGGGCAGAATATCACAGAATCCAACCAATCCATTATAATATCCAAGTAAGGCAAGAGCAGCAATGGCACTGTTGAAATTTTGATATCTTGTCGCTTGCCATAGGAGTCTGGTTCCACGTTCTCGATCCCCTTTGAATCCGACAATGTACAATATTTTGTTGAAAATTGGATTTTCAATCATAGAGAAAACAAGAAGTAAAAGGCCGCAACACAATCGAACTCCAGAATGAATAAAAATATCTGTTCGGTTGGTGAATACTTTTTCTGCAAGCGCCGGGTCGATATCATAGGGGTTCGTAACCGAGGGAGGTGAAGGTGGTCTCGAGACGTCCGGAAATGAAGCATTGTTTTCGTCCATCTTTTCATCGAGGTCTCCTACAGAGAGATTTGCCGTTTGATGTGCAATGTCATCCACTGTAACTGCTGGCACAGTACTCTTTCGGCTCGGAGGTCTAGAAGTGAGTGAAGTCGTACTCGAATTCGAACTCGCCATCTTCTCCAAGTATTTGTTTTCTATCTCCAATATCCCATCCAGTGTGAGATATGCCTTTCTCAATTTGTAAAAACCCTTGACTGCTTCTGTGATACTTCCGCTGAGAACGGCAGTGATCGCACTCGTCAATTGAGCCCTATCATAAATTGTATCAGCACCAATTCTCCACATCCCATTGGAAATAATACTTACACAGAATAACACAACAGATACTCTGTACCCTGTGGGTATATATTTGATTGGAAAGCCGTGGATTCCTTTTGAGCTTTCTTCATATCCTCCCAACTTTTGTTCTCGGCTTCTAGTAAGATTACTGCAGCTTCCTTGAGTAAATCCTTCTCTACTCCCATCATCGCAGATAAGAATCCAGATATTCCTCTTCCTAAATGATGGTATGAAGAATCGTTTTTCTTCAATAATTTGTCTGCTTCATCGATATCATCGTTCAACAATTTCAACATCGCAGCCTCGACGTCTCTTAGATGCTGTTCCTCGTCTTCTCCAACCATTGTAGGTGCTGCCTTTACGGCAGATCTGAACCACCTGCTCATTTTGACTGATCTACGATATGTGTTTGTGCGAGTGTATAAAATTTGGTTTTGTCTTCGTGTATAATGTGTGAAGGTCTCGCGACCTTAGGTGACTGTTATTCTGGCCAGGGATCATGGGTTCTGCATTTGTAAAATAGAATTCTATAAGATTCGTGGACATTCAATTTTGTCAAAGACAGTTAATGTCCAAGATAAATCTCAAGAAGTGGTCAAACCGGAGGGCCTCGGATATGGTCAATCCTGTTGGTGAAACGACGTTGATGTATTGAAAGTTCGAAACCCTGGCGCTCGGAGAATGCGGGGCAGTGAATTGGGGCCAGTACGGTGATGATGGTGATGTTGGTGATGTTGATAGTTTCACATACACGTACAACGAGGTAATAAGACAATCAGAAGAAAAGTCAAGAAAGAAAAAGGAAAGAGATCCTTCTTATAATAGTCCAGATCAACCGAGATCTCAGTCACAATATCACATCACATTCAACGAAAAGAAAGGAGAAGATGAGAAACAAGAATGTGAAAATTAAATCCATAGCCTACTTTGGAAAGCTTCGCACTTCGTGTTTATGACCATCAGTGAGAGAACTTGGAGGCAGCCGTCATCTATCCATTTTTGTTCAGGTTAAAGTACTCCGAGCACCTGGGTTGTCGAGGCTGTGTAGTGATTGTTGGATCCATTGGAAAAGCTCAGGCCTAGAAGAGGCGGCGGAACAGCAAAGCGGCAAGGGTCTTTCAGGTATGGAGCACTAACTGACTAAGCTTTATTGGTCCTTAGCTTATCTAATCTACCAGGGATTTCTTGCGAGCTTGCCTTATGCGAATTCACTCTGCTGTACAGTACAATATTCCAAACCACCTTCGCATCGCAAATCCATATCCATAAGATTCAGCCGTCGCACGGAACGAATACGATACCACATTACCGTTCCTCCCATCCTCAATCTACGAATTTAACCTCCCAAATCTAAACCACCCATCATGTCCGCAGCACCAACCTCGGGCGCCGCCCCAACAACAAAGGCCACCAGCGCCGATAAATCATCCGCCGATGCGTCGAAAGATCAAAAGCCCGTCACCACATTGGAGGAAGATGATGAGTTTGAGGACTTCCCAGTTGAGAGTAGGTTTATCTCTTAGTCTATATTTGGTATTGGCGACGATTCGAAAGCGGTTCAAGTGATGATTACCAATAGAGTCAAGCACTGAAGTGAGCCGTGTAAAAAGCGGTTTCCTAATTGATGACCACAATTGCGTTATGGTGTCTGATGAATTTTGAAGCTTGAGGATTTGGCAAATAGGCTATGGATGACGGACGACACGGTGGAGAGCGTGTGTAGCTTTACGAGCTTGCTCGCAGAAGTACAGTGCAGCTGGGACACAGATTTGGAACTGCGGAGATATGCGCCTGCATTCTACAGCTCCTCTTGTTATCTCAACTCCGCTTTCCGTTTCCATACATCAAAGAAGGGCCAATATCACACAAGAACAAGATCTTCACATTTACACATTTAAAACTAACATTGTTACCCCTCTAGACTGGAGCCAAGAAGACACAGAAGTACCCGGCGACAACACACATTTGTGGGAAGAGAGCTGGGATGACGATGATACTTCGGAGGATTTCTCAGCGCAGTTAAAGTATGTATTACCATGCCAAACCCTGATTCTCCTCGTTCCATGTTGCACCTACCAGTTATGCCACACCAATGCGCGCAGTCTATTGCTACACATACAATTTCCATATACTAACTATACTTCGTTCATAGGGAAGAATTGAAGAAGGTCGAAGCAAACAAGAAGAGATGAGCAGGAAATATTTTGTTCCATGGGTGATACACATTCAATCGGGAGTTCAAGGGCATGACATCATATCACATACAGTACATCACAGTAGAAATTACTAGAAGATGATAGGCATACAATGGAGATGATTATGATATGCATTTCTCTACAATAATGTTTTTTTGTTATTCATTTCGTCATTCCAAATATCCCTTCGTGAATCGAGCTATCATATACTGTCTCCGGATCCAACAAATTTTCCTACAATCATAGGTTGGACTTATTTGAACGGTCTGATATCCCATCAGAACCGAACCATTCTACAAACGTGACCCCCAAATTTACTTACTCGACAAAGCAGAAACACCTGGGAGATCCTTGCCCTCGAGCAATTCCAAAGAAGCTCCACCACCAGTTGAAACGTGGCTGAGCTTGCTCTCAACTCCATACTTAGCAGCCACAGTAGCGGTGTCACCACCACCAATAATAACGATCTTTCCATTCTGGGCAGCATCGACGGCAGCATCAAGAGTAGCCTTGGTACCCTTGGCAAAAGCCTCGAATTCGAAGACTCCTGGTGGACCGTTCCAGAGGATAGTCTTGGACTCATCAATAGCTTTCTTGTAGAGTTCGATACTCTTTTCTCCACAGTCAAGTCCCATCCATCCATCTGGGATACCTTCCTCATCAGTAGCAGTGCCAGTGTTGGCATCCTTAGCAAAGTTGTCGGCAGTAATGTAATCAACTGGGAGAACAAGCTCAACGTTGTTCTTCTTAGCCTTCTCAACGAGATCCTTAACGGTCTTGCTTCCAGCCTCATCGAAAAGAGAGTTACCAATCTTAACACCCTCCAATGTCTTCTTGAATGTGAATGCCATACCACCGCAAACGATGAGCTTGTTAACTTTTCCGAGGAGGTTGTCGATCAATTGGATCTTGTCGGAAACCTTAGCTCCTCCGAGAATGGCCAAGAATGGTCGTTGGGGGTTCTCCAAAGCCTTGGCGAAGTACTCGAGTTCCTTCTTCATGAGGAATCCGGATGCCTTTTGTGGAAGATCAACACCGACCATGGAGCTGTGAGCTCTGTGGGCAGTTCCGAAAGCATCGTCTTGAAGCCGTGAATTAGCCTATGCCCCTTTTGAATGCCCCAAATGAAGCTTGACATCAAAACTCCGAAATCCGCGATAACCCCCCCCAAAAATGACTCACTAATGAAAATGTCTCCCAAAGCAGTCAAACCCTTTCTGAACTCCTCCACCTTCTCCTTATCAGCCTTAACCTTCTTTCCCTCTGCATCCTTCGAGCTTCCCTCTTCCTCAGCGTGGAATCTCAAGTTCTCAAGTAACACAACTTGTCCTCCAGTTGCCTTGTTAACGATTTCTTCAACTTCCTTTCCTACACAATCTGGTGCCATCTCGACCTTCTTTCCGCCCAAAAGCTTCTCGAGCTCTGGGACGACAGGCTTCAAAGAGTATTTAGCGTTGACCTTTCCATCGGGACGTCCCAAGTGAGACATGAGGATAACGGCTTTAGCACCATTGTCGATGGCATATTTGATGGTTGGGACTGCGCCTGCAATACGTTGGTTGTTGGTAATGTTCTTGTCGGAGTCGAGAGGGACGTTGAAATCGACCTAGTGGGTAGGCAGTTAGTTAGCTACTTGACTTATTTTAGATGCCGTTTTTGGTATGTAGAACGCGGCTTTCTAATCTTCCAGTGATTCTTGAACATAAAAAGTATGACTTGTGCTCAATACAATGTGACATGGGATTATATGATGGAGATTCAACAACAGGTGAGGAGAACTGTAAACGTACTCTGATCAAAACTCTCTTGTCCTTGACGTCGACGTCGGTGATGGAAAGCTTGTTTGAAAGAGACATTTTCTTATAGTAATATATTCAAAGTGTTGAGTGATAATTAGAAAAAAGAAGATCCTGAATGAGCTTCTTATAGTTCTGATTGCAAAGGTGGTATTGATTTAGAAATTGGTTGAGAAGAAACAAAAGCTTAAAACAAAAGGGACGTGAGTTGAGATTTGATGGAATGCCCCTCTATCATGGTGGGGTGGTTTTCTTGGATCCTCCCTCGGCAGCTTGTCGGGGTATCCGTGACCTTTTCGTATCAGATTCCAAGAAATCTAAGCCATCACTTCATTGTCTATTGAAAATGCTTGAACGTGAAATTCAAGCTGTGAACGTTTCTGAGACGCGAATATCTGCCTGGATGTTTGAATGGTGAGGCGTTTGCGATTTCTATCAGGGTGCCCTCTCTATATACCTAGGTATTCCGTCAAGCTTGTTTGCTCACATAGGGTAGGCAAGTGGAATATTACAAGGAGTAAGTGCCAGCCAATAGTTCCAGATTTCGGACAAAATTATTATTGCTAATAGATTTGTACTTAAGTAGAATCAATACGATATGTATATCTGTGGTCTATAAAGAAATCGTGATATTCGCCTCCAAAAATCCAGGCGCCAAACACCATTTGGATGTCCCAACCAGATATGAAAATGAAATTCGTAGATATATTGTCCAGTGTGACCTATCCAGACCAAAATTCTTAGACCTAGAACTCCATCCCTTGCCAATGCCGCTGATTCCGAGTTGTCCGTCGTGCCTTCCTTTTCGCATACTCGGGTCTAGAGTTACAATAATCTGATGTTTGGTGATACCGGGGCTGATCGAACTTCCAAAGCATCTTCAGCTGCATTCGATAAGGAGAGATAAGCTGTCCATGCAATACCAACAGTGGAAACGAATGGCTATTAAAATTGTTAGCGTTAAGCACTAGGAGGAAAGATTTTGCTTTGGGGAAGAACCTACCAATTGGAATTGTAGTGGCATAAGACGGAAGTTAATGATTTGTACCAAAGGCCAAACCAAAAAGTTGGCCTTTAGTGTTGGAAGATACATATCTCTTAGCTTTTGGGCAACCGCTCTCTTGCCGCCACCTTCTGCAACGGTCATAACGATAAAGAAATTAGCGATGCCTGCGAAAAGTTAGTTATCAAGTCCCTGATAATATCGAAGGACTTTTCATACCGACTGGTGCGAAGACTAATTGATCCATCGCAACCATCTTCATTGCTGGTCCAAAAGCACTCGATTTTGTGATTGGAAATGCTTTTGATAGGAATTGGAACCATTTGAACTGAATAGGCGCCATCGCGAATCCATACGCCATAAATCGAGTCAAGCGCTCAAAATCAAAAGGTGGTGGCAGAATCTTGGAATCAGGAATAAGATCACGATCGTTGAATGGATTTTTCCTATCGAGTTCGTGGATTTCTATGGCCAATGAATCATCCTTCCGTAATCCTCCTTGTTTTCGCACAGCAGATTGTCTAATTGCTGTTATAGATTGTGCCACTGTGTCAGCTATGCCACCCAGTACTGCGTTTGTCACCATCATGGTGAGTACTGGACGGGCAGCATAGTAGCTGTTGAATTTTGCGGTAAGTCTCCCGACCATTATGAGTTCGATGAGGAAGATAATTGTGTGAATGAGAGGCTGTGATTGCGGATATGTGTGTTAGCATCTGAAAGCTGGAAATTGGTTCGGGCCTAAAATCACTAGGCAATCCAGCCCAAAAGTAGAGATGGAGTCAAATGGAAGGTGCGCGAAACTCACAACTCTGCCGTAAATGTATTTACTGTTTGCTGTCCGCATGAAGCGTCGCCGTTGGATCTCGAACGGTAGAGGCATGGTTGCGGGAGGGCGGCGAGTATGTAACAGAAATAAATGGGTTGTGAATTGGACGGTGGGTTCCTTGGGAATTATGACGACAGAGACAAAGACAAGATCGATGATCTTTTAGTTTCCGATAGGACTACTCGTACCACGAATTATAAGCCTTGATATTATTCGCTTTCGTATAATCCTCTCCAACCAAATAAAACGTGATAAATAATTTAGAACAGAAATAAATGACTCTGAAATGCGACAATATGGAATGAGAATACTTGAAAACCGATTATGGAGGATGACTGAGGCGAAAGAGGGGGAAAGAAATTGTTGCCTTTCCCCAAAACCATTGAGCCACTCCTTCAACCGGCAATAATGTTACCTAGTAGTTTCAGTTACGAAATCATTCGCTAGCATTCAATAAATTCATGCGTTGATCTTTCTCAAGACTTGATGTCAAATAGATTGTAATGAGTACAGATTCACTTGACGCGTAACTTTAAGAATATGCATTGTCGCTTTATGTATAAATAGGAATTTTCGAGAGCGGTGGATTGTACGCAGAGATCAAATCATCGCAATCTAACATTTTTCGTTTAGGTAACCTTAAGGTCGGTCCCCGCACTTTGTCGCGCGAAGTAGATTAAAATGCGGTGTTTTCCTCGCGAAAGTTGTTCGGGGGTTTGAGTTTTCTAATTGTTATTTGGGGCATCGAAGATTTACAATAGGACTCTCTCCTTCCTATACTTTCGGGTAGACACCAAGAGTCTTGCCATGGGCTACGTCAGTTAAGCTTTCCAGATGCTTTAGTGAGCTGGACCTCTGCGCGTAGACGTGGAAATTGGAATGTTTGTTTTAGTCAGTACTAGAGCACGTCCTGAATTATTGAAGTCTTTTCATGTAAAGATTCTCGCATATGTTGGAAACCCGGATGCTAATCATGGTATCTGTTATATCAAACTAAGAGCGTTCTCAATCTTATATTTCATTTCCTATTATCTTCCAACTATGAGCAACCTTGGCCAGTATTATGCGCAAATTCAGCAAGCCATCTCCAAAGCAAATTCAACCTGTTCCAACCCAGCCTATCTTTGCCACCTAACGTTTCAAACGTCATACCTATTCTTGGGAAGAAGAAGAAGTGCCATCCCTTCACCGCGTTCTAACACTTAAACTGTGCGTAACAATCATAAGTGCCATCTCCCTCAATTGCACACCACCAACCCGGATTTCCACCATCCGTACCACCAACTCCATAATGGCCGCCTGCATAATCGAAACTCGGAGATGCTGTAGGACTATTACCTGTCATCACAACTCCATAAGGCAATTGTGAAGCCAAGAAGAATGTCTTATACAAAGGAATGTTAGTTGTTCCACCGATAACATTGCAGGATGGGTTGAAGATCCAGGCATCTTGAACGAGAGGTCTAGTGGGGAAGTTAGACTTAGTGGCAAGTTGACATATCCCGGGCGATTGCATGTTGCAGACAGGTGGGTTTGGTGGACCGGGAGAAGATGGTGGAGAGGTAGGGGCAGAGGTACTGATTGGGGTTGTAGAGGGGGTTGTCGACACTGGAGGTGGCTTGGAAGTGGTGGAGGGCGGCTTGGAGGTGGTGGAGGGTGGCGGAGAAGAGCCTGGGATCGAAGAGGGGGTGCAAGGAGATTGTCGACGATTGTGGCGGCGAGCTTCAACTACATTATCGCTTGAGAGGAAGAGCAAGACGCCGAAAAGGGCGACAAAGTACTTCAAGTGCTGCATCTTTCTGTTTCAGTTCAGCATATTTCTTTCGTCATATAAGTTTATTCTCACTATACCTTTTGTCTTAATACCTGTTATTGTATTTTTCTGAGAGTTAAGAAGTCTAACCGTATGGTGGTTGCTGAGTTTTGCTTCTCGTACTGCTCTATTGAATGCTGCAAGTGCCGTGGGTTTTGAAAAGACAGTCAAAGATCAATTGTAACGAAAGCTTCTTGTCTCAATTCTTCAAATTGTTTTGTTGAGCCTCGCAATTACTATAAGACCTCGAAGAGAAATATTGATCCGTTCGAATGGAAATTTCTTGTATTTCGCGTCCGAAATTATTTCGTTGAAAGTTGCAAAAGCTGCGAGACTTCTTGCTCACAATTTTAATTTTTCCAGGGGACGGAAGTGAATGTTGAAGAGAGGAAAATGATTCAATCACAGTAGAAAAAGGTAATGATTTTCGTTCGGTATGTCAAAAAATAAATTCAATCTGGTTGTAGAGGTTTATAGGTAAAAAATGTTCATTCTAGACAATTTTTCTGAACAAATGCACATGTCCCATGTCATCGTCTTATGACCCCGCGCTGGTGTCTCCAAGCTTCATTGAGATCATTACTTGAACTCTATTGAATCATTCTTCGTCCGAATTCGGTAATGTCTTCATTTTGGGAAGGAATTCTCGGTGTTATTGCATAATGGTATGTTTTAATGTATCGTGGAATGTTGCAAAAAGTTTTGTATAGAGCGGAATGATATGTGTAATTGTGTTCATGTGGTGTTTTTATACTTTGGAGTTTCTGCCATTCTTTTTCCCTTGTGTCTCAGCACCTACATCGGATATTATATCGCAATATTCACATGACCAAGAATGGAAATCAAAAGCTAACAGAAGTAAATTTGAGTGTCCATCGTTCTGGAACACCAAACAAAGATGAAGTTTAAGAATTGAAAGTCATTCAAAGCTTTGTGATCACCATATAAAATAATACAGCCCCTCTTCATACACGCGTCACTCTTGATCACTACATCCACATGTCCTCCAAGAAACCAGTAACGACACGCGGTACATATATATATCGAAACTCTTGGGGATCTCAGCCATCTTTACTTGATTTGTTGAACCCTCGTCGTCGATCCGAATACGCGTTCTGTACTGCTTGGAACTCAACATTAATCGTAGGAGTATCCGAGGTACCATCACAATCCGTGGTACCCATTACCATTGCAGCTACCGCCCCAACAGTTTGTACAACTTGCAAAATATCGTTCGAGTCGATCGAATTGGCGGGTGAGGGCTCAGGAGTTTCGTCGGACTTGACTTCGACGGTGGGTGTTCGTGCAGCGAGGAGTTCAGCAAGTTGGTGCACTGCACGCGAAGCAGTTAGTAAAGCACATTATAGAGGAATTGGTGGTACTTGCAATCATCTGTTCTAAGCGGTTGTCGATATTTTCTCCAGATATACGTGAGACTCACGAAGACCATGGTGACTCTATACACTACAGTTGCGATGACATCCGGGCTCCAAGTAGTCTGAATAGGTAAGGGTGGCATGTTGTGGAAGAAAAGGGTCTTTGTTCAGTTGGAAAAATGTCAATTCGCTGCGATTGATGTATTCAACAGGTCTGGTGAAAGATTTGCTCTTTTTGAAGCTACGGACAACAACGATTGTGTGGCGAATAGCAGCGGTAGGTAATGAAGTCTTTCTATCTCGAGATGTCTATCAAGAGAGATGTGTGAGAGTGAAGGGGTTGGAACCAGATCTTGCAGATTTGCCAGTCAGAATTGTGTAGAAATTATGTCTTGAGAATGTTATTCAAAAGGTAAGAAAGGAAAGAGGATTCTGTCTGCATTATATAGGCATCACAATCCTCGACGAAGCATGGATATTGGCAGGTTGATAATACTACTGCATCGCCGTGCCTTTCGAGCAGAGTCATAACATTCATTGACATTCGTATATTGACAGAGTAAAAATCTTGTTGCGTCGCCATTTACGCCGGCCAGAGCCACTCTCTGTTAGGATTGAGCATTGCGGAAGAATGATAGCTTTTGCGTCGCCATGTATTTTGAGTAGAAACAGAAGACATTTAGGCCAGGGTTCATCTGGACTGAACGCAATTCATTGCAATAATTAAAGGCGGTGCCATTGTCAGTGTGTTGGGTGTGTATCGAGATAATCAATCCACTTGTGCTATAAAGGCGACGCCTTTTGAAATTGCGAGTCCAAAGATACATAAAACTGTGGCAAAATTCTAGATTACGAAGTGCGGGGGATCTGGGTTTGGCTGGAACTCTGCGACACGAAATAAAGATTTGGGCTGGCGATGCATTTGACGATTTAAAGACAGGGTCAAAAAGATGACAATCAATGATTCGCTATCTATTTCAAATCCTGAACTCAGATTTTCTTTTTGCGACAGTTGATATGAGAATGTGTATCTTGCATTTCGATACGACAATCAGGTCCGATAGGGTTCTGTATGGATCAGAGTTAAGCCCTTGAAGAATATCATTATGCATTCCGCGTTCTGTGGGTTATGTATGGATCATCACGAATTGATTGATGCAAGAGATTGGGTAGACAACTGCAGGTTCTCCTCTTAATAGCTGGCACACTGCTCGTAGCGCCGGGTGAGAAAAAGAGAATAAGGTCAAGAAATAGAAAAAGGCGATGTTCGGCTGGTGATATGTTAGATTCAGGAACCGATACAAACACGAGGGCTGGCGATGCAATTCAAAGGGACAATCCAGCATCCAGTCGATTGGTAGGGATCTAACCTATTATGACATAAACATGAACCCGGCCACAAGGGCCAGCCAACACTCCAAACATGCCTACCGTCACTTACGCAGCACACAAAAATTAGGAACCGTCAAGCCATTCAAAAACGCCCAGCTTACCTGGATTCATCATTGTTGAGAATCACCATGCTCGTTACGGAGCTGCAGCATCCTCGTATCTTTCCTCCTGAATCACTGTTGTGTAATCCAGATTTACAAATTTCAAGTTCAAATTTTATCTGGGTACCTATCCCAACAACGTCTTTTTGATCCTAAAATGTTAAACCATTCTAGATAGATTTAATTTACTCTAAGAGCGAAGTAGTATCCCTTGGGGATCTGGGTCTGGTAATGTTACAAGAGCTTTCCAACGTTCACGATACCAAATTCATACAAACCAATGTATCAGTGACGCGCAAGGTAACCGGATACCCACAAAGGCGATTTAATAATCATCAAAAACAAGATGCTGCATCGCCTAGTACCTTAAAAATTGACGGATGGACAGAATATATGGCGACGCACCTTGAAATCTTGGGAGCTCTTGGAGTATCAATGAGGTCTTTTTCAACTGCGTCGAGCGATTGTGGAAAGGGCAATTTCTCTGGATCCTGGCGATGCAAATGTTGCATGGGTTATAAGTAAGCGCCTATCAAAGACCACAAACTACAGCTGAATGTACCATGCATTCTGCAACACCATGCACAGCACAGCCCATTGGACCATTCAAAGTAAAATGCGCATCATGGCTCCTGTGTTCTGTGTCCAGACTGGTCCTGACAGGCCGCTATAATGCGATGCATTTCGGAAAGCCAAGGCGATGCGTATGTCGGAACCTAGTTTTCATTCGATATAAACAAAACAATGCCTCGAGAAACTTGAAGTCGATTCCGAATCAGCCAACGGAAAATCATGAACGAAAATAACTCCAAAAATCACCAGAGAAGTATTCTCGAGCAGAATCCCAAAACGCAGCTCATGTTAGAACGTTACAAATGCTACGAAATACCCGAGTTACTCGATTCCCTGGATCAAAAACTGAAAATATTGGAGATGATGAATGGTTTGAATGCTCTGATGATTTGGAGGGACGAGTTCAATGCCAACATCAATGTTTTAAATGAAAAAGCCACTGCTGCTTTCCATAAAGAATACAGCTCCCTCCAAGCAACCGTTAAGTCGCCGTCAATACATTCACAGAAAATCAATCAGTCTCGGGAATCCAAGAAAGCGTCAGGTCTACGGATATCTGAGATCATAGATCTGACTCTTGATAGCAACGAAGGCCGCGTAGACATTGGCGTGGGAAATGCCAGTGAAAAGCCCAGCAACTCGGTTGACTATTCCATACCTCATGATGTTGCACAAAGTACAACTACCACAGCACCACCACAGAGCAACCAAATGTACAATAATTCACCGAGCAATCAAGATATGGGCGAGAAGCAGGTGTTTAATGGAAGTAGAATGATAGACCCAGAACTTGCCTTTCGGTATGCTGAAAACGAAATGGACTTCTCAGACTCGGATTTTCGAGCTCCACTTGATACTCAACCTTCATATTCTGCACCTCAAGAAATGTCGCCTCAACCGATGTCTAACTCTGAAACTGTACCCGGCTCCACGGCAGCCAGAAGGAGAGGCGATCCTCATAGTTGCAATGTTTGTTCCAAGACATTCACAAGGGGGACTACACTCCGTGAACACGAGAGGAGTCATACTAACGAGAGGCCTTGTATTTGCAGTACCTGCAGGAAGGGGTTCTCAAGACGCAAAGACTGTCGTCGCCATGAGCTCCTGCATGCGAATGCTAAGAAATTCTACTGTGCTGGACACAATCCACCTAGAGTGTTCAAAACGGCTGAAGATAAAGATTCTGCATGCGGCAGGAGCTTCACAAGAATGGATGCGCTCAAAGCACATTGGAATTCACTGAGAGGCTCCGAATGCTTGAAGGTATTGTTTGAGTTAGAAAAAGAGAAACGTCTTTATTCCATAGAGCAGGGGCTCTTTGATGATACTAAATGTGTTTGCGGCGATGAATTTGAAAGTGTAGATGGGCTGAAAACACACCTTGAAGTTCCTTTCCAGTCAAGTTGTTTGAGACAAAGCGTTATGGATTCGGGGGAATTCCACGTAATGAACGATTATAAGTACCGGCAAAGAACGAAGTAAGTCGCCAGGATCGGGATCTCGCATTGCAAAGACACGGATGAGAGATTTGCCACATCAGAGCATAGTGTTCGAGAATACGTGTGAAGTTAGTTGGTCGTTAGAGGTTCGGGTTTATATTGGCATTCAAATTTTGGATTGAGGGCAGGCCCTGGTAAAGAAGGTGTTGTTTAGTCGAAAGCTCTCATGAATCAAGAATAAGTAAAGTTTTTCGGCAATGTTTTGATTATACAGGGGGCACCATAAAACTTCAGGGGGTTTTCACAAATAGAAGTACATTATTATTTCGTCGATGAAGTTGAATTGGGACCTTGAAACATGATGTCAAATAAATGAACATTGAGAATTGAAGAATCACTGTCACATTCAACATGCATAGATGTGTTAATCGAAAGTGTGTGCAAATAGATCCCTTGTCATGACATCACCATATATTTATCTTGCCTCCCCATGGCCTCTCTCATCCTCTCATCCGGTGGCCATCTACACAATCCAATGTGACTTTGCCAGTACGACTGTTTAATTTTCGAGTCTACCTCAATCAACTAGAGTAACCATTCCTCGACTCTTCCTCGCTTGTTTCACCTCCACTAACAGCCCAGTCCTAGAGTACGGGGTCATTTTACTTTAGAAGCTTTTGAAGATACTCGAGAGTAGCAAGAGATCGTGCTCCTCTCCCATCCGACTGCTCATAAATTTGCTTCAACTTATCTACCGACGTGAGTTTAGCCTGCGGGATCTCAAACCCATAGTTTGTAGAAGAATATCCTGGGCTCTCCACACATCTGATAATTTCGTCGATACACAGATCACGACTCTCAAGCTTCTTCTTTTGTTGCAAGGTAGCGTGCTGCTCAATCATGGTTTCTGCTAGTGAGTGCAGTAACTGCCTTGCTGTTGATGCCATTGTGGTGTGCCTCCGGCTACAAATACACGGTTTATCCTGTGCAATCCATAGGGTGTTGATCTCTCGAAGCGATGATGTTATCCAACGGAAACCTCGATAGTTCCTGCGAGGAAGATTGTGCACTTTCATACACACGATGGCAGATTTGATAGAATCCATGTCATTTTTAACACCGCGGTTGAAATTTCGTGTGCTTGAGCGGAGCATCGTTAGGGCTTTCAGGTTGTTGAAACAAAATGTGTCGGGAGCACGACGGTGGTCTATAGCCATGTAGATAGGTGCGCCGCCTATTTCGCGGCCAAATACTGGGCGATAGTATTTCAATCCTACTTCTCTAGCATCCTCACAGGCGTGTAGAAGACTTGGAATTTGATACTGGGCCGTAAGTGATGTGGTTTCAGTGTCGGTTGATGCGCTATTTTTGTGAATATATGCGGTACCTCGATGATATTGATTGACTTGCGATTGGTCATTGATGGGGTGGACCTTGGTATCTATCGTAATAATTTGCGCATCAATATCTAAAGCAGCCATCTTCCATATTTCAAGCTGAAGCTCCTTGGGAAGCCATCGAAACATATAAAACCGATCTGTGGGAGTTTCACGTCGCTGCAGAGCCTGATATTGAGTCAGTGGTTTGTGCAAAGCAAATCACGATATTCAATATACAAGCAAAGAATAGAAGCTATTGATGAATTGCATTCTATACTCGAATACCTTATATCCTTCCAGCTTCAAGATCCCATGTTGGAGTGTGATTTGTTCTGACCATCACATAATAGGGGAGTACATACCTTAGAATTTATATGTTCTTGAACAGCGATATCTGAGTCCTCGGAGGTGGCAGATATAGCATAGTGATGCAAACTCAGACAAATGCGCTTCTTTGGGGGTAAATAATCCGTTGCCTCTGAGATGCAGGAAATGATAGGGTCAAAAGACGGGAGAAGTGGGATGGATTTGAAAATGATTGTACGAAGCTCGAGTGTCATTTAAGAATAAAGAAAAATTGTAGCTATACAAGCCCCTCAATTTACGGTGTTGTGTTGATAGTGAGTTGATACATCGTTGGTTCGGAAATTGTTCAGAAATTGATGTGCAATAGATTGTACGGCCGGAAAGTGAATATTTCTTCATCTATTCTAGCGACAGTATACCGTAAGACGCGACTATTAGCAACCACAATCACAATCTTGAGAGCTGTGTTAGGTCATTTTTAATGCAATTCGGTTGACTTCGATCAACTGGATCTAATCAAGCATCAAGTGTATACAATGCACTGGACATATTGCGGATATCAGACAATGACAGCCCAAAACAGTGACAATCTGATCAGCAATCATTATGCAAAAGTCGAGATAATTCCATTGCGTCATTGCTGCTGTTGACAACATGGAGAGAGAAACACGGAAGTTTTCGCACTCAGAGTTTCGGTTCCTTTAGAGTTTTCCAACATGATCTTTTGCTTTGGGGTCCTTGAAGAAGTTCCCACTAGAAGTTCCGATGGAACTTGAGATCGTTTCTTTATATATGATGGTATAACTTTTGTTTGTGTCAAACAAACCTGTCTCTTGAGGTTGCGTTGCACTTGCTATTGCTGAGAGTTCGAGAAGGCCCAGTTGAGTTGATTCCGAAAGAAGGCCCAGATATGAGTAGGGATGGGAGACAGGGACGTAATGTTTGAACAAGCAGCAAAAGCTTCATAAGAGAGGAATATATTTGCCACGAGATGATCGAGGTATTCATGGATGATGAGGCCAACTTTCAACTCCAAAAGACGTGCGCCGAACGCTATTCCACTCGGGGAGAAGTTGCTTCGAGTGAAAAATCCCATCGCGTACCATTAAGATGTTTGATGACGTTGAATTTGAGTTGCGTGTTGGCTCGTAGTTCACACCCAAATTCAAGACAAGCTTCCTTGGCGCCAATACTCATCGTACCAAGACTAAATAAGTCTGATTCCATTGTCTGGGTAGATGCAAAGTTCTGAATGTACATCATTCAAGTGGATGGAGAGCGACTAGAGAGTGTTCGATCGGGAGAGAATGATTTGGACCTATCCCTCCCCTTTCCACTCACCTCGGTCGTTTAAAATTGGGAGCAATATGTTATCCGGGTTGATACTACGCGCCACTTGAGAGTACCTAGATAGATATATATTATATATATATATATATACCTAGTAGCTCGTATTAGCGAGATTGGCTAGAACACCTTATCTAAATTAGAAACGAGTCTGATGGTATCTCTCTCTTCACATATCTTTACATATTATTTCACAGATATCTGCCTATGATAGATAAACTGCTCGAGCCCCGTGATTCCCCCGCGCCACTTCTCTACCTTATCAAGTCGCACGGGTCACATCAATCCTTGCACGCCAGCCTTTGGTCACTGCATTGACAAAACACGATACAATCTCGTTTCCTTTATCAGAAGTCGGGACATGTCAAGTTGTCAAGTTGTCAAGTTGTCAACTAGTGTTTCGTTACACCAGAACGCTTCCTCTTTTCCTCATCACAACATGAGCCGTTACTCCGGCCATCCGCATGATCCTTTTCGTAGCCTCTCATCTTAGTGTCTTATCTGCTTCCCTTCATCTTCGAACCCAATAGCAAACAATATGTGGTGGTCTTTTAAGGTTCTCACGATTTCCATATCAGAAAATTGAATGTGGCTTACACTTCGTATCACCACTATCTCCCGAACCCTGCCTTAAGGGTCGAATCTGGATCCAGTTCCGTCGAGCAAGATTGGATTATATTCCATTAGCAGTATGGTGGTCCTTCCAGAACGTGGTGTACGGCGTGCGCCGATGGATTCATTCCAAGTATCCAATGATTACCCCAACTTAAGATACCCTTTCTTTTTTGTTCCTTATGAACTTTACCATACTCTTGCTATCCTGTGCCTCGCTCGGCCAATGGCAAGTATGGGAATCGGAGCACCCGCTATATTTCCCCATCCGTACCTTGCTCCACTAACCACAAAATACCTTCCTGATAAAGGTTTGCCAAGAAGGAACCAACCAGGACGCTTATCTACACGAGCCAGTGAAGATCACCAAACACTTGCGAAAAAGCTCCCATCTTCGTGAGTTCTTATCAAGCTTCCTACGTACAGCTCACCTATTGTTTTTCGTTCAATTGATTCGTCCCAAGATATGGGAGGCACCCCTCAATGAGTTAAATTAATTTTCTAGAATGTCAAGCCTTGGCTTTCCGTTGCATACATATGTAACTAGGTCGTGTTCCCCCTCTGATTGTCCTACCCGTCCCAGAAAGTTTTCATTTTTTCATTCTGCTTCCCTAAATTCACAACCTTGGAGCAATGTCAGACTTCGTCCATGGTGATCAGGCTGATCTAAAACATGCTCACCATGTTAAACATTCCCATGATCTGGAGAACGGCCGCTTCGAAAAAGACCTTGATCCTGCTGTGATCGCGGCTGGAAGTCATGAATCCGAGGGCGACTCCGAGGAGATAGTCTTGGCTAGAGAACTTCGAGAGAAAAAAGGCTTCCTGCGTAGCCTGCGACGTGGTGAAGAATGGCTTGACGAAAAGCTGGGAATTGAAACGCAAGGTATTGATAGGATACACGAAGAAGACAAGCAACCTCCGTCAATCCTCAACGTCTTCTTTCTCTGGTGGTCTCTCACAATGCATGTTGGTACAATACCAATTGGCCTTCTTGGTACGGATCCCGAAGTCTATGGTCTCTCCCTCAGTCAAGCAGTTGGCGCCATTATCGTTGCAACTATTTTGGGAGCCGCTTGCACCGCATATACTGGTACTCTTGGTCCAAAGGTAAGTGTTCTGGAAACATCTTATTTAAATCATTCTAACGAGTTTTAAGCTTGGTCTCCGTGCAATTGCATGTTCTCGATATTCCTTCGGTTTCTACGGTGCAAAACTCTGCTCGGTTCTCAATGTTGTTATCGGTGGAGGTTTTGCCGTGGTTAATATTGTGGTGGTGGGTCAGATTTTGGCTGCCGTCTCTGATTACACTATGACAATCGTGGTGGGAATTGTCATCATCGCAGTCATCAGTTATATTGTATCAATTTTCGGCTTCAGAATCATTCATACGTGGGAGAAATACTCGTGGATCATGACATTCATTATCATGTGTGTCTTGATTGGCCAAGTCGCTCCCAAGATGGAGCCAAGTCTCCCATCCGAGGTTTCTGGTCTTGGTTTCTCAGGCTCTTGGCTTAGCTTCTTCGCCGTATGCTTTTCTTCCGCCTCGGGATGGTGCTCAATTGCTTCAGATTACTACTGCAACTATCCTGCCAATACCAAGGGCTGGAAAATCTTCTTCCTTACCATCTTGGGAATTTCCCTTCCAACGATTTTTGCAACTATTATCGGTGCATGTCTAGGAAATGCGGCACTGGCTTCATCAAAGAATCCAACTTGGACAACGGCATATGAAGACCATGGACTTGGTGGTCTTCTTCTAGAGTCTTTCCATCCGTTCCGATTTTCCAAATTCTGCCTTGTCTTACTGGTTTTCTCAGTTATCGGTAACAACGTCGCTGTGAACTACTCTAGTGGTCTTGGTCTTCAATTGCTTGGTCATTATTTCCATGCAATCCCAAGATTCATCTGGTCATTTGTCAATGCTCTTGTGATTGCTGTTCTTGCAATTGCTGGTAGAGCACACTTATCCAGTATCGTCAGCGACTTTGTCTCCCTACTTGGATATTGGACAGTTTCTTTCACATTTATTCTGCTAATCGAAGATAAATGGTTCCGTCGTACAGAAGGTTACGATTTGAACTCTTGGGATATACCCGGTAAACTACCATGGGGCTTGGCTGCTGTTATGGCTCTTTTGGTTGGTTATCTGGGTGGTGGTCTGCCTGGTATGGCTCAGGTTTGGTATGTCGGTAAGTCACAATCACTTTCTCGGAGTATATTCAATATACTAACACTACAACTAGGCCCAATTGCAGCTAAATTTGGACCCTATGGAGGTGATGTTGGAATCTTCTTAAGTGGTGTCTTTACTATCGTGACGTATCCTCCACTTCGATGGTACGAGCGTAAGATTACTGGTAGGTAGACCAAGAGTTGAACACCTTATATTTACCTAAAAATTCAATTCTCTTTCCTATTTGAAAAATTCATTTATAAATTTACATATGTATATTCTTGGCAATAAGAAGTGATTACCTGCTTCCAAACAAAAGGATCAAATTCCATCCTACCTAGAGTCTTGAATTCTTGGCTAGATGAACCTATGTACCGGTTAAGTAGGGAATTAGGAGCATTGATCGTTGAAATTCTTGGTACCCCTCATACCATTTAACGGCAAAATACCCCTCCTTCCCAACGTAGAATTGTCATAACACATCATAACTCAACATAACACAACACATACATGCCTATCATTCAAAAAAACCTTCCATTTCGCTTCAACCTCTTCCATGCAGTATTCCACTAACCCATGTCATGCCCGTAACACCAAGCGTCAACCCACCTTCCTGCATCCTCCCGCCATCATGTAGTTCATTTTCCCCACCGGATCAACAGAAATTATGGAATCTAGCGTTACACGCTGCATTCCCGATCCACCAAGCATAGGCAATCCAATTGTAAAAGGAAGGTCACATGGCGTGGAGTCCTCGTGCTGCTCGGCTTCGTGCATACGGGTTTATCATTTGACATTTGACATTTGTCATGTTGCGATGCATAAAAGTGTTGGGAATTGGGTATATGTTAATGGATGTTTAAATACGCATGTGCACATGCATGTATGTATGTAGGAAGATTACAGGGAATGGGTCCTAGGGATGGTTTGTAGGAGGTAGTACATGCAGAGTTGTTTTTCCGATGTGCCGAGATTGGCCGAGGAGGGGGCGAAAAAGGGAGGGGGCATCCAATGCACGAAGCCATGAATTCGGGTCAGTGCAATAGATTGAAAGAATAGACTGATTTATGAGGGAGATTGAACCGCGCGGAATTGGGGACGGAATTTTGACTGGGAAAAAAGGAGTATTAATGTAGCGTGTGCTATGATTCGAAACGGATGAACTAGGCAGAAAGCTATCCTCGGCACGAGGGGAGAGTTGCGAGGTTTGACAGGTGATATCTCGAGATGTGACGCCCAGTTTTCGGGAAAACTATAACATGTAAACCCTTTAATTTACTAGTATATGTCAGATTTCCTCATGGCCAGACCTATTTTTTGGAGCTCGGGTTGCTAGAGGAGATACGTATAGACAAATCAAAAGCAAAAAGCAAGAAGAAATAAGCTAATTAATTCATTTTATTGTTTGGTATGGCACACTTGTAATATGGTACAAGGCTAAGGACAGCTCATCTGCCTAGCTATGGGTATTTTCCTTCTCAAACTCCACGCAAAAGCAAATATGATTGAATCCATTAATCTCAAAAAACTCTATCCGTTACTTCCCGGAGCAGGAGTATGTCCTACGCTCCCACTCCCATTTCTTCTCATCAGGTTCGGAAACATCAAAGATCCATCCAGATCGTCCATATCAGGAACATCGCTTAAATCACTCTCATCATCTGCACTATCGTGTACACTGCCTGGTGCTGAACTATCCTCTCTTCTTGCGCTTTGCTGGGCTGCTGCAACAGGTATTTCAATTCTGGGCGCAGACGGAGTAATAGGTGATGCATTTGAAGGCAAAACGGAAGATGACGCGGCATTCTTAGGACGAGTAGGGGCAGCAGGACGAGCTGCTTCAGCGGCACGGTTGATAGATTGCTCAGCTCTAGTAATAACTGCCTTACGGTTGATACCGAGTTTGCGAGGTCTGGGTACCTCAACAGAAGGAATCGGGGTAGAGGCATCTGTATTGGTAAGAATATGATGGAGAGTCATTGGACCCGACGGTCTTGCTGCAGCTTCTCCGTCAATTTGGGATTGATTCAAAGCCGTAACGTCTATTGCAGGAGTGTCCCTTACGACCTGAATATAAAGAACTGCCCAGATATCATTGATCATATCGTCGATCGGAGTTATCTTCGCAAGACCATTGTTGAGTTTCTTCAACTCGATAGTCTCTCGCAAAGCATCAAGAGCTGGGTGTGAAAGGCTACCATCTTTGATAGAATCGTCTAGGCGTTGTGAGTAGGCCTCCCACACCTCCTGGGAGATTCCTCTGAAAACTTCGTCGACATTAGCAGGTATAGCAGCAGCTTTGCGAATGAGCCTGAGATATATTGTACAACATTCGTTCCAGACATCGCCAAATTTGAAGTAGTCGACTGCCCGCTTCCTGACGCGCTTAGCCAACAATTCCATATTTGGTTTATCGTCAGTAAGAAACAAGAGCCTGGCCATGAATAAAGCATAACGTCGCATGTAAACAAAATGTCTTCCTGGTCTTTCCGCTTCTGGTTTCCAAACTTGCATGGACATGGTTTTGGTGAATATAGACTCTCGAAATTCACTGCGAGCCAAGCAAGCTTTTTCGTAATCCGGATTAGACTCATCGTAAACAACGTTAGCTACACGAGCAATCATGCGATGATGCCAGTGTGGCTTGTCTAGATTCCGTAACTGGCGGAAGCAAGCAAGAATAAAGATTTCCCAATCTTCTTCATTTTCAATCACAAAAGGATCTCCCTTCCGTGGACCGTATGGTCGGTCTTGTAGAAGCTTAGCGGCATCTTGAAATTCCATTTCTCCTCGCGCTACCAATTTATGAACGAGAGAGGCAAGCTTATAATGTGGTTCCAGGATGGGCTCCTGGCTGCTTTTACTTGGTTTCGGGCATGTTTCTATGGCACGAATGAACGTATTCAATACCGTTTCCATGGTGGGTACATTGGGCTGATAATATTCCTCCTGTGCGGCCGCTATCATTTTCCACTGGCATTTTCCCAGCATAAAATGATTCCTAAATATATTAGCGTTGAATTTGACGCGAGTATGGAAACAAACTCACATCCAAAAATCTGGCCGATCCGCGAGAGAGCGCTTGAATAGTTCCGCTGCATATTTCCACAACTTGTATTTACTCATTTCCTCAAAAGGCGTCTTCTTGTACATCCCTATTTGTTCCCCGCTCATATGTTTTTCTTCGCCTACCCAGAACACTTCCATGCTGAAAGGCTCTCGAGATGATGCATACAAACGCATTCCAAAATCATGATACATATCAGACAGCTTTTCAGCCGTTCCAAATGAACTATCCGCGCAACGCATTGCTGTAGAGAGCGCCATAACATAACAATGAATAGAAGACTTCTGCAAACGAACTAAAAGTGGTCTATCACCGTTCATTTTATCTGCGCTCCATAACACCTCTTCCTCTAGCTCCAGATCATAGCATTGTGCAAGTCTGTACCACGCCTCCCAGTGGTCCGCGGTATATTGCAGCTGAAGCTTCATGAAATGTGCTGCAAAATTCAAATCATCCGTTTGGGAGCCAGCACTCGTTCGCTTCGTTGAACGGTATTTTGTCAGAGCAAGCATGCCTAAGAGATAATACCAACCTTTATCGGCAAGAGGGCTTTCTGGGGTATGTACAGAAATGAAATCAATCTCTACCTCGCCTCTCATGGCTAGATAAAAGTCGAGAGGACGGATTGGAGTTTTCAAATACTCCGTAATATTTCTTGAGTTATGTAGCATGGTAGGTGTTTCTTTGGGCTGACCAACAGCAGTTTGCATCTTTTCAATTGTGGGCTTGAGTTCGTGCTTCATAAGATCTTTCATTGGCATGTTGTTCGCAAGTGAGATGACTTGTTCTGCAATATTCATAACAGTTCGTCGATCCAAATTTTCTCTAGGACAACCATGATCATCGAGCAAAAATGTGCCCACACCTAACTTGATGCCATATAGATCAAACAATACCTGGCCCAGATAGTCTTCCCATCTATCAATGTGCTTGAAACGGGACATTTCTTGCTTCATCATCTTGAGGAAAATTTTATTCGAGACCTTGCAACACTTTCTCAGGCCTAATGAGTAGTGGACTAGCGCAAGGAAATCCGCGAGATCATTATCAGGAGTTGGAAAAAGATCACGGTTCTGAGTTGTAGCTTCTTTGACCATAGCATACTGTAAAGCCCACGTCCGTACTTGCATTTCCTTGATCTTGTTTGCAAAATTGTTAAACGATCCAAACATAGAGTAGACCCCAGTCTGTGGAAGTGAAATACTTCCAACACTAATTTCGTCATCGAAGACTGCCGCGGCATGAAGAATACGGCTTAATTGTGCCAATGCGGCGCATGTTGATTTAATATGGCGGTCGTCGATAATTTCAAAGCAGGTTGTAGCTTCGTTAAGTGCTGTAGTCAATGCTGGAACCAATAGCTGATCAAGAGCCTTGAATAATACCAGCAACTTGTGGCGACGAGTCTCTTCATCACATTTTAAGTAACCCTCACTTCGAAACTCTGCCACTAGTATCTCGATACATTTTAAGCTACAAGAAAATACTTTGGTCTTGTATCCGATGCTAGCATATGCTTCGCTCAGACGTTGCCACAGAAAAAGACGAAGTGATGTGCTTCCACTGTCCAAGAATTTCCACATGTCACGTAATATCGCTGGAGTAGTATCTTTAATCTTAGAGATCTCGCTGTCTTGAGAATCAGCAATTTCCATTTCTACAGACTGAGATGTGGATTCTGGATCCAAAACTGGCTCGAGTGTTTGGATAATTGCTAACGGGTCAGATTTATCGGGCTGGAAAAGATTTTGGAAAAATTCCATCGTTGTCAGGCTTGAGACCTCTCGATCTGCCGCTGATGTGGAGATTTCAGGTATAACGGCATTGTTTGGAACCAAAATTGGTGGTTTTCCAGCCTTGTTGAGAATGTCTCGAAGGCTAGTCCAGAGAAGAACTTTATGCTCGCGTAAAACTTCTTCGGGAACTGTGGCATAAAAGACTGATGCCCACAAATACCTTAGAGACAGTTCATCATCCTGCTCAGAATCCCGGCTACGCATCACAAAAGCCGAGAGATCTGCCCAACGATCAAGCCTATCTTTTGTCATAATTCTGATATCCATTCCAACCATACTATCTGCATTGGTAATGCGTGTATAGACGTCGAGGTGAAGTTCAAAAATTGTTTCTGTTATCTCCTCTAGCTGTGACAGGTGGGTAGAAGCTTCGCCAGATGAGCGACTTAACTCCAGCTCTGACTGAACACGATCGAAAATATCTGCGTCAAGAAAACTGATCATTCGAACGGTGGCTACTTTCAGTTCAGCACTCCATTGACGTTGTAGATAGGTTGCCAGAACAGTACGAAGCCATTCGAAAACAACATCTTGTAATGGCATCCAATCTTTTTCGATTTTTTGTGCAAAATGTGATATACCACCAAATTCTGCGAATGGCGGTGGCTTGCTGTTTATATTTTGTGATGCCGAATTTGAATGCTCGAGAAAAGCCGACAAGCCAGCATTCGCACTACCTCCAGAAGTTCCTAGGATGTCTGCGGCATTAGCGTTTTCAAACACTGCTGCCTTAGCTTCGTCCCAAGATTTCATAATATCACGCAGATCTCTAACTGCAGTGTTCGTTCGAATATCGTTGCGCTCAGTGGCTTTTTCAATCGCCAAAGCTACCTGGAGTTCTTCACGGGTCCCTAAATCTTCAACGCCTATTTTCTGAAGCACATTCCCAACAAATCTGAAAACATCATCGTCAGCACGGGAAAACGTCTTAAGCTGTTCGGCATATTGAGCTGCTGGGTCGACAGGAATTTCAACAGTAGTAATTTCGCGGTTTCTGATACGCCTGCTACGCTTGTGAGTGCTGTTTTCCTCTTCTGGAGTGTCGCGCAAGCCAGCAGCAGATTGAGATCTTTTTCTTGTAGGCAAAGCGGCATCAGGGAGTTGTGCAGAAGCTGTTCCAGCAGGCTCGCCAGTCCTTTCATCAGAATTGTTGGTAGTAGGTGTGCCATTCCCAAGACTTTCGACTATCGGGGATATCGACATTACAGTGTCGACGACCTCTGGTTGATTTTCAACATGCTGTTCACCCAGTGTGGGCTCGGGGGAGAAGTACTGGTCCTCTCCTTGGGGTAGAGCAAGTATAACTCCAACAACAGGAAGGCAAGTTGAAGCTTGGCATATCTCATGGCCAATAGCTGTCCATGACCTTTCTGGTACGTTGATAATTGCACGGCCTTCGAGAATCTGCAATGGTACATCATTACCCATGCTCCTATTCAGGATGTTGGTGGGATTTGGCAGGAATGGATATGGATCAATGTGTTTCTTCAAAAATTGAGGCATTTCATTCTTTTTGTAGGGTCCCATTATTGGATGAGATAGAGATAATTCATCAGACAAAGCTTCGAGCACACTCTTCAATTGCTCTCCCGCAAAACCTTCTTCTAAAGATTGAGGTTCAACTTCAGCAACGGTTGGATCGTCATCAACCTCGACAGCAGCCTCAAGACAATATCGAGCAATTCTCTGACTCCCAAGCATGGCTCCAATACGAGCTGCTCGTCTCCATAGCTCGGTATCCGATTCATCACTGGCTAGAGCACGTCCAAAATCATCCATTGAAACTTTGGCTTGTAGATCTAGTGTTACGGCATCATCCATCACGCCATTCGAGTTTCGCAGGCGAGCCTTAACACAGTCCAAAATGAATTGTCCATGATTTTTGTATGCGAGGTAAAGGATTTGAGGTAATGTGCTGGATGTGCCATCGGCGACAGCTTGACCAATATCGAGTTCAATAGGTATGGCAGAGTCGGCATACTCAAGTTCGGGATGCTCTTCGAGTCTTGTAAATTCAGTGACAGCTTCTGGGTAGCTGAAGATTTCCGATTGAAATAAATTCTTGTAGGCTTCGGCAGCTTCTCGATAGAAAGGAAGACCTTGGGCATGCAGCTTAAGCGCAGCTGTGTAGAGCTTAAGAGCATCTTCTATTTGAATCTCTCTCGTGTTATCGATCTCATCATAGCTTTGATCGTCTGGTTCGATGTTTAATGCGGTAAAAGTCGCCATCTTGACGAAAGAACCGCGACGGTGTACTGGTTAAAAGGTTAAAAAACAATGAGGTCTCGTTGTTTATTGTATACGCGACGCCATATTGCGCCGTGTACAAGTATTACGGAGTTCGACGTAGCAGTCTAGCCAAATAATTAGATAGGATGCAGTATTTCCCGTTTCGCGCTTTTGTCCAGCTATTCGATACAATGCGACAAAAGTTGTGATTATATGTTTGTCGAACTTCAATTTGCACAGGACAGAGAGCTTTCGGGGTCTAAGTTTGTGTTCGTACGATAGGTGATGATATCTATTTTAGCTATCGTATTGAAGCAACGCGGAAATCACAGTGAACATTGATTGAATGGGTGAACATCGTCCATAGTCGATTAAATTCACTAAGTTCGAGGTTCCGCGATAACCTTTTTTCCGAGAGGTCGGACACCCCCTGCAATTGATGATAGACGGTTATCTCATCAATAGCTAGAAAACATGACTGGTACATTTGATCATGATCATGCATGTTATTAGTCTTCTGTCAATCGTTCAAATCTGAAATTGACATTCAAGATGTACAAGTCTATCGTTGATAATGCCAATTCAAGTATCACTCATAGAGTAACGCGGATTAGATTCCCATTATCTGTTCTACTCCTTATCGCTGTCGTTCTTGGTTTGCAGCTTATCGTTCTCCCTCGATACATATACCAATTATCTCCAGCAGCTACAAAGCTTTCAGATCATTACATATCTCAGCTTGAAGTGGGATATTCTAAATGTCTAGATCTACACACATTGCCCAAAGAATACTCTCACTCGGAAACCACGTCACGAAAGAATCCTCGCTGGAACTCTATTCGTGGTCAAAATCAGACCATAGTCTTGAAGAATGCAACTCTATTCGATGGGAAAGCTCTTCTTAGTGATTTCGTGGATATAACGTTCGAGAATGGGCTCATCAAGTCCGTATCAACAGCTACTAAATCTATCAATTATGATCCCAATGTTCAAATTGTCGACCTCGAAGGTAAATATGTTACACCAGGTCTGGTCGACATGCATTCACATCATTTCTTGCACGCTTGGCCTGAACTCTCTGTTACAGGCGATGAGAATGAGGTCCATATGGGTCCTCTTACCCCATTCGTTCGTGCAATTGATTCTATCAAGACGGATGACAAGGCCACTGCTATAATCGCTTCAGGCGGTGTCACAACTTCCCTTCTCATCCCTGGCTCGGCAAACATTATAGGTGGTGAAGGGATTCTTGTCAAAAACTTCGTTCCTGGTGGTGAAACTGGCGAAGAAGTAGTTGAAGAAGTCTTATTTGAACATGGTGTACCCATTGAGGAGAGGAGGCGATACATGAAGATGGCATGCGGCGAGAATCCTACAAGTGTCTATGATCATACCCGAATGGGTAATGCTTGGTTGTTTCGAAAGCAAATGACACGAGGAAAGGAGCTAATTGAAAAGCAAGATTCTTGGTGCTTATCAGCTTCTGCGGCTCTGGAAAGTAGAGATTCTGCCACCATTTCAGCCTTCATGAAGAACGGTGGTTTACCAGAAGAATTAGAATTAGAATCTACGGTAGCATTATTGCGAGGTAAAGTTGGAGTCAACATACATTGTTATGAACCTGAGGACCTTGAAGACATGATTCATCATAGTAAGGAGTTTGGATTTCGAATTCAAGCATTTCACCACGCCCTTTCAGCCTGGAAAGTGCCCGAGTTGATCAAGAGCAGTGGAGAGTAAGTTGTGAAAGTATATTTGGAGTTTCTACATTCTCATAGTACAATAGGAATATAACCATTGCGACCTTCTCCGAATTTGGATTTTACAAAAAGGAAGCTTACGATGCCAACTTATGGGGTGGGAGTATTCTAGCTGAGAGTGGGGTTCCTGTTGCATACAAATCCGTCAGATGCCCTTCTCTTATGACATATACTAAAGCTAACATTTCAAAGGATCACGTTTTCGAGATAACTAATGCACAATACTTAATGTATGTCTCCTTGAATTTCGTTAACATGAAACCATTATTGATACATAGATAATTCAGGTTCCAAGCCGCGACTGCACATTCTTTCAATCTTTCCGAAGCTCTTGCTTTGCAATCTGTAACTAGTGTGCCTGCAAAATCGTTAGGAATTGACTACCGGGTTGGATATGCACGTCCTGGTTATGATGCAGACCTTGTAGTGTGGGATTCCCATCCGCTTCTCGCTGGATCCACACCTTTACAGGTTTACATTGATGGAAAAGCTACTCTGGACCCTGTCAAAGTGGCGGAAAATACAGCTGAACATTCTATCGAACGCACTTCAATAAAACCAAGATCGCGAACTACTCAGATATCGAAACAAAGTTCATGTAGCAAATTAGACAACTTGGATCAGATTATTGCTGTCACTGGAATTAAACAAAGTTATTTGACGCCACATCAGGATGTCTCATCAGAAGCGAGTAACTTCACGATGGTTTTGGATGGTGGAAAAGTTGTCTGTCTAGGCTTGGAGCAAGAATGTGCTACTTTACTCCGTAAAGACACGACTATCATTGAGCTCGAGGAAGGTGTTGTAATGCCAGGGCTCACTGCATACTCACCCAGTCTAGGCTTGGCAGAAATTCTCGCAGCTTCTGAAACCTCAGATGGCTCTCTTGACAAAAGTCTGGCTCTGTTGGAGCCAGATAATATTATCCACGCCAAGTACGGGATCCATCTCGATGGACGTGGATTTTCTAGGGCAAGACTTGGTGGTGTTACCCAAGTAATCACTACACCAATTTCTGAGACATTCTTTGGTGGTGTGAGTACGGGTATCAAAACTAATGGTAAACACAACATCCTCGATGGCGGCATCTTCCAGGACGATGTTGCTTTACACTTTTCAATTGGTCAGATGGCCAAACGTAAGTCTGGTCTCCACAATACAAATTTAGAACATTATTAAACCATATATACAGAATTCGAGTCCATACCCACGGTATCCTCCGCCATAGCAAAATTGCAACATGTTTTGATCAAGAATATTGGCAAGGATAACGTGTTTGGCACTGTTGCAAATGGATCATTTCCATTAGTGGTACATGTGGATAATGAAGTTAGCTCATCTCTCCTCATTTGATATTTTTAAACTGACACCTAGAATTACAGTACGATATTCTCCAGCTCATCAAACTAAAGAACAACCATCCATTGCCCCTCAACCTTGTTCTTCTAGGCGGAGCGGGCGCTCATCTCGTAGCTGAAGAAATTGCAAAATCCAAAACACCCCTCATCCTGACCCGAAATCGCGGTGCGCCGGATACATACGAAAAGCGCAACGCACTCTCTGGTCCTCCGCTAACACGTTCTCCTGCTGCGGTTCTTACAGACGCAGGTGTGTTTTTCGCATTGGCAATTGAAGGCGAAGGCAGTAAGTTTCCTGACCCTATTACCCATCATTGATCAGCCTTAGACGATCTAACTAAAATTACAGGCGAATCACATATTCACAACCTCGCGATTGAAGCGGGTTGGGCAGCTAAATACTCCAGCCTCACAAAACGTGAAGCTGTGGACTTGGTTTCTCGTAATATTGAGAAAATTCTAGATCTGAAAGTTGCAGAAGGAACTAGAGATTTCGTGATTTGGGAGGGGGATCCACTACAATTGGGGGCAAGTGTTGTATTTAGTATGGAAGGCGGAAAGTTGGGAACATGCTTGCCCTTGTCGAATTGATACCCGATGTTTTGCGCCGACAATTCGACCAGCACGACCGTTATCTATACCTAAATCAAGAACATTCTCATCGTCAAATAGAATACTCAGAATCTCGCAATAAGTGTAAAAATTCATGTGGGAACTAATGTGCGGCCACCATTTGACTTAATGGCCTCGAGCATGTCGTATTTTTTGGTTTCAAGAATGTTGTTTGACTTTTTTTCTCGAGCTGGTAGTAAAATCCCTCATTCTTTATGTAGAGCCTGGCCGTCAGCAACACTCGTAACCTATCAACGGTTCCTTCCCGCCACTGCATTTGGCCCGGGCTAAACCCAGTACTGCTTTTAGAAGTTTCAATAAATATTAAGCGCCCGTCCATACTGTTGTAATTTCCTGACGTCAGATCAAATTTGTATAAATAAAATAATTTAACCCGTAGTTAAGGAATTAGAATTTGCATCAAATGCATCTAGACAATCACATATCATACCATCTTATCAAATCCGAGAAATCATGAATGTTTTACTTCGCAAGAAAAAGGATAGAAAATCAGCTACGCCCAGTACCACTAGCTCGGTTAATCCATCAACACACGTGACATCGACAAACGCTTCATCCAGTACCCAGGTTGCAAGTATAGCTTCCCTTGAAGGCGGGTCGGACTCTGAAAGCAAGAAACATCGCAGTCACAAAGGTCATAATGTATCCACTAAATCATCTAGTACCGTAGTAGATAGCTCATCAAACTCCGCAAGGGAGGGTAAGAATACAGGTTCTGTCAATAGGAGTCATCAAGAGAGCAATCATGGGCCTGGCACCTCATCCTCTCAAGCTTCAGTAAGAAACACAAGACCAGAACTAAAAACTGCATCTAAAAGTTTACTGTCAAATATCCCTCTATCACGGACAAAGATTAACGCTGAGGAAAAGGAGAGGGATAAGAAACTCGAACAAGAACATAGAAAATTAGGAATGAAAAAGCACGGAACTTACACCTACGTGGAGGCATACCAGGCGGCCGAGTTGGAGGAATCAAGATATCGGCGAGAGAAAGAATACCTGAACATTCTAGAGAATGATCCACTCGCGACCGAAGAGGAAATCAGAGAGCAAAAAAAGGAAGTGAAATCTAAAAGGGAAATTCGTAATAAAGCGAACGAAACATTCGACAAAGTCCACAAAGATGACAAAGAAATAGCGGACGAGCAATTGAAGGTATTGAGCAAAATGGGAGAGGACAATTCTTACAGGATCAAGGCAGAAAAAAGAATTAAAAAGGAAGAAGAAAAGACTCGAAAGGAGAAAATCAAAGAGGATAAGGAAGAGAAGAGGGCCAAGGAGGCTGCAATTAAAGCTGAGGAGGATGAAAAGCTGGCGAAGCAGGAAAGAATTGCAAGTGAGAAGAAGAAGGAAGAAGAAGACGCACAGAACAGAGCTGAGCGGACAAAGTACAAGGATAACAAGTTTGAAAGGTCACAGTATGGCAATAGTAGAAAGAAAGGAGAAAGAGAAAGGGAAAGGGAAAGAATGGAAAAGTAACAATATTCTCAATCGTGAATGAGGCGATGTTTACTCTTCAGCGCAGATCAAGACAAAGCTAGTGTCAGGATCCCGAAATATAGCTATTAAGAAGTATATGTGTTAATTATTCTGCCTCTCAGAGCAATTATAGTATACTATACATGATTTGTGCCAAGTTGAACTTTTGTTCCTATCAACTTTTGGATATCAGACCCATCTTAACCCGCTAAGTTCTAGAACGTAAAACCTCCATTTCCTGCTCTCACTCCTAGCCACACGTATAACCCCCGAAACTTCTATTCTCGAGTTCTACTGCATAGGCCCTTTATCCTTCGGTGCCGCTACTTCTAAAAGCCGCACAAAGTGCTGCATAGTGGTGTGTCAAGTCCAAGACGTTTTGCGGTAAGCTTGTTGCTTGAATAATGCTCCTAACCTTCACAGCACCTTCATCTTCTATCAGTGTGCGTATTGTGTACAGCAACTCTGGCGAGAACTCCGAGTACCATCTGTATTGCCAAGTGACCAATCTAATAACACTGGCAACTGTGTCTCGAGTATTCTTGTTCTTCTCCAATTCGGCGAGAATTCCCGCCAATGCTCTGGGAGAGAAACGTATCTGAAGGCAGTTGCGATAAGCTTCAACAGCTTCCGGCTGGTGATGAAGTCTATCAGCCAATGAACCGAGAATTTCCCATTCCTCGGCCGATTTCTTGTACTGCATTTGTTGTGCACGGTACTGAGCCATTTCAGTTCTCCATATGGTATAGATACGAAGGTCTTCATAGAGAACCATAAATAGGCTATCGAGCCAACGCTCACAAAGTCTCTTGTTATTGAATCTGGAAAGTTGCTCTTCGGTAGTCTCGCTCTGCTCAATGTTAGCGTATTCATGGCGAATTTTCGAGTGGCACTCACATCTTCGTTACCACTTTTCACTTCTTCTGCTGCAACAGTATGTGAAGGCTTCTCTACAGAATCGTCGGCTCCGCTACCATCCTCACCGTTTGGTTTAGGGGCTGCCGAATCGCCAGTCGTACTTTTTTCGTCGTCGGAATGGTCATCGCCATTTGCACGAGGACCTGGACTTCCTCTCAGTACGTCGGTGCTTGCACTACGCTGAGTGGATTCACCTTGTGGACCAGCTGGTGGTTGTTTTTCACTTCTATACTCCTCTTCCATGACAAATACGTTACTCCTAATCTTGAGAAGTTGATCCCAGCCAATCTTTGCTGTCATTTCTGTTAAGATACTATAAGCGTGCTTAAAAGTACCCTTGTACATAGCGGCACGTAGGTTTAAAAGGCTTTGGTGAACTTGTTCTGATAACCTTGACTCCGGTTCACTATCGATCTCGTCTAACCTAGTCTCAGGAAGGGTTGGAAGGTGAATTTCCTTAGGCTCTGGCATGTTAGGTGCATCCTTGTCTTGATACGTGAACATGGGGCATGAATTTAGAGTCGTAAGAGCATTCTCCCAATCTTCCATGGCAACATAAACTTCAGCTAAGCGTGCCCATGTTCCAAATTCGCTCGGCGCAGCAATGGTACTTCGATCTGCACAACCAAGGGCCATCTGTAATCTTTCAGTCTTGAATTCTGGCTTGTTGGGGTCCATTGCCTTCTTTTTCAAAAATTCGGCTTGAGTATCAAGCATAACATAATCCATTGGCGACTGCTTCACAGATTCATGTAATACTCTGACGGCTTGTACCTCCTCATTGCCCATAAACAGGACCTTGGCTAAAAGAGAGGAAACCTCAATATTTCGGGTTCGGAGCTTTTCGAATAGATTAATTCCAGAGGCGTATCGCCCAGTGGTTTGAAAGTATTTTAGAAGGCCTGTTGTTAGATGATTCGAGACATTATTTGGTACCTGAACGATCGAATCGGATCCAAGTTGCCAGCCTACAGAAGTTAGTCTTGGGTTTTGCCTTCACATCAAATGGCATACCTCTAAAGAACAACTGTTCGGCAGCCTGGAGGAATCTATGTTCTGTCTCCGTTGTTGTCACTGGGTTGAATCGCCTAACTCCAATTATCTTTCGAATGGTGTCTCCACTGCCATCATCCGCATATGAATATGCCCGAAGAACACTACACAAGTATGTTTCCAACCATAATTCATCGGTTGTCGTCCTCTTATCGCCTCGCTCATCGATACAATAACTTTCAACGCTTCCTGGGATTGTGACATGGACGCGCATATCCAATCGAGAAAAGGCATTGTAACAACTAATAGATATTAGTAACAATCCGCATTGACAGACTTCTAAACCGACCAATACACGCCCTCTACTATCTTTGTCGTAGACTGATGGTTTTCTTTGTAGGTAAGAGTATTGATATATGCCGCTAAACTTGCAGATGATGATGCATCGACGCCGGTGACATGATGATATACACCAATCTGCTTTCCTGGATTTCTCGGAGCTTGCTTTATCAATTGGACTAGATCTGGGGGACCCAGTTCTCTTAGAGCTGCTAGAACTTCAGATCGCGCATCGATGGATTCGTGAACGATCTCTTCGGTGATCTCAGGAACAGCTGGCGCAACCATCTTATCCTCTCACAGGGCGAGCCTGTCTTGTTGGTGTTGGTAAATATCGCTGTGCGAGTTGGAATGATTTGTGATTTTCAGGAAGCTCAATTCTAGAATATGCCTTGAAACTACTAGAGACTTGAACAATGATAGTGGGGGGTTCTTGCAGTCGACAACTTTGTGGTTGGTATACAAATGTAAACACCTCATCGGCAGGGAGCTCAAGCCACACTTCAGCCTCGCCAATTCAGCGGCATCAGGCTGTGCTTAATCAGCACTCCCATTGTTTTGCAGACATGCATGATATGATAGAGAAGATTTCACGTCAAACAGTGCCTCGCGATTGGAAGGAGAGCCGACCATCAGGCGTAAAAGGCTGTTCCATTGTAAAATTTGCTTTGGACACTATAAGAAGATCTGATTGTTGACTCTGAATTGGGGCAATGGACAGAGAAAATTACCTACTTTGGTCTTGCAAAGTTGCATCTATTCTATTGTTTATTCAAGGGCTCAAAAGCCTAGCACTATATCTAGAAGTCCAGTGGTGCGGATATCTACACGCCCTTCATTATTACTTCACGGAATAACTTTCCGAGTCCTAGTTTGCTTCTTTGTATTATCTCATTACATGCTCGCCATGCTTCAAGTCGAATGCGTAAAGATAGTCAGTTCACGAGTTGGCTCCAATGTTTCACAAATCATGTCCTTGAGTTGCAGCCATATTGGGCTGTTATCGTGATATCTTTTTTAATCTGCTATTTTCCTGACATAGATGGTTTGATAATTCCAGAATTGTATTACAAGTTTTTGATACTTTCTATTTATCTTTGAGGTTTTTGAACCACTTCACAGAGAAAAATCCTGTGGGCCGGGACTAGGACTCTTCGTGAGAAAGCGCGGGAGCCGGATCATGTGTCCCCTTACGTGTTGGTATCCCAGAACCTTTTCCTGGGCCTTACTCAAAGTTGGAACATATCTGCTTTCTCCTTCGGTATCTTCCCACCACCTTGAAATGGGACCGTTATCTTCCATTATAAGCATCGAGCCCCTTTCAGGAAACTCTTGTAAAACAAAATTCCCATCCCAATCGGGATCCTGGTTCAACTCTCTCCCTAAGTCCATCCATCTCGTAACCACAAATGCCAATCCTTCACTCCCATAGCCGACGATATTACTTTGAAATTCTGTCCCACAAAATGCGCAAATCCATTGTTTGAGACCCATCGAAGGAATCTGGAAGGTTATGAGGAATCACGTACACGTGCTAAGAACGGTAAATGATTTGGGCCTATGAGTTCATGCGAAATTCATGAGTGATGCAAGTGTTATTCAGTTGATGGCGATGGTAGTTAATCAACTGATCTCCTGTTCTGCCTATCGAACGTAGCTGAAGTTGTGAAGATCCGTACTTGCCTTCGTGGTATAACTTCGCAGCCATTTGTATTTCACTAAAACGGAATTGCTCGTGAATGATTGACTCCACTCGGAATTTTTTATCATGCTCCCAAAATTTTCTGGCTATCGTCGAAGCAGATGGTTCATGTATGAACATAGTGAATAACTTCAATTCGATGGCTACAGTATCATAGCCCTAAGCGAATGCGAAAGAGACTAGCTCTTTCTAGTAGCCCTTATATAAGGCCTACTATTTCCTGTACATAGCTAGCTCTTTAGACAGAATACAATGTAGACATTTAGGACCAACAGATCGTAAGTGCCGCCTTTCGTATCCTTCTCAAACCAGCAGTTCATGCAGCTTCAGATATGCGTGACACGAGATGTATTGCTCGTAGTCCCTGCAGAGGAGATGAAGTAGATCAGTAGTTACCTTCGGAAAAGTCTTGACGACGTCAAGGATTTTAGTCCAGTGTCCTGGACCGCGGGAATTCTTCAATTTGAGAGAAGTAAGAGTGAATGCTACAACAGAAGATTTTGGAAGCTAGGCAAAAATATCGTCTAAGATTTCATTGGGGAGGGTAAAAATTGCAGCGTTCTTCGAGGCATAGGCAGCACTCTTTCGTAATGGAAATCTGGACATTTGTTCCCGAGGTGTAAGGGTTTTGGTGGTGATTGTCTTTTCCTCTACAGAGTTTGGAATCCCCGTTTGCATTGGTGTGACATACGCATAGCTAATTGTGCAAATCTGTCTTCGATTATCGATATTGTAGGTAGTATTCTCCCCCTCTTTACGAGTCGCTATACCAGGCTTTCCGTCTACAGAGTTCGCCGACTCTTTTATTACATTATCATATATATTATTCAATTTCCCAAACTTCTCTACCAATTGTGATGATGTAATAAGTATTCACCAGAGGTTCGTGGTTTGGTATGAGGATGCTAGGTTCTCTGTTCCAAGATCGAAAACTCGTTGCTTCTATTGTGGTGGTATCATCCACGCTCTTGAAGTTCCAACCAATATGATCAGCATCAATAGAGTAGTTAGTAAATGCGCGATATATGAGTGTGATGGTAGAAAGCAAATTTATTGGCCCGTGATACGGTTCTACAGACATGATGGAAGATTGTCGTCGCCGAACGATGTGTTATTAAATGTAAGAATAGTTTGAGGGTCTCGGCAAGTCAAAGATCAAACTGGATGAAGTGGAATTGCACAATTCATATGTGTTCTCTGTATCATGTGATCATTCTTAAATTAAACTTAACTATAAGGTAAAGAATCAACTAGGAAATCAAGTACACTAGTACAGTACACTAGTACAGTACACTAAACATCTAGTCCATGATTATTTGACCAAAATTCGATGTTACATCGCTTATTATCACCCAAACTCCTATAGTTCCCGGTCTAGCACCGGTGTAAACCACCAACTTGCTATTGCGATACCACCTGTCATCTTCATACGTTCTTCTCCCTTGGCATACATACCACCTGGCAGACACTGATTTTCAAGTCGGAACTATGTGAAATAAGCTTCAATCCATGTTATCACCACACACACGTTTAGTACTTGATTCTTCAATATTCCATCCACCGCTTTGTAAGAACAAGTCTTGAGAAGATTATTTTTCTTCTCCAGTTGATCTTCTGGTGCTCAAAACTGATGGTTCGGATTATCACAGTAGTTTAAGAGTAAAATTGACCTAGAACAGCTATGAATAACTCAAGTTGAATTATCCTAGTAAATACATACCGTCCAGTGAGCACTCCAGCAATATTATATTACTCAAATATCTACTCCAGAGGACTATCAACTCCTGATACTAGCCCCAGAATAAACACAGCTTGCCAGAGATATCTCCTCAAAATCTATTTTCTTCTCCGAAATAAATGTTCTCGTCTAACTTTCCTCACAAATCAAGATCTCGTAGCGGCTGACCACAAGTAAGAATCACTAATACCTGTTGATATGTTTCATAGTCCACTAGCTTAGACTAGCTTAGTAATTCAGAGTACTCTCTTAAAGAAACTCTCTTCCATAGTCCTAGAACCCCAGTCACAATAATATGAACATTACTCTACCCATATACGTTCAACAATACCTATACATAGCAGAGATGATGAATACACAAGGCAACGAAAAACAACAAGCTAGACCACAATTCATGACATGAGACCTTCTCTCCCTAAGATGTCGAATTCAAACTTCTAACTTTTCAACAGATCTCTCGTCAAACCAGGTGTAAAGCGAATCAATATATCTAGACCTTTCACATCCATCTTCGTACCCAATATCTGTATAACCAACGAAGAGCTGATTGAAATGTATATATTCATTCATATGCTCGTAAACCAACATCCAGATAATCCATATCCCATAAAACACATCACACCATAGCATACCCATTTAAAACTTCAACTCAACTCATCTATCTACATACACCCAATCCTCCCCTCTCCGGAGGCCTAGATACACTAATCTAATTTCTACATCCCTCATCCAACGAACTCTACTGAATCTTCACATTTACTCCCACAATCAGATTTTCTAAACACGTACCAAATTGAGGATCATGATCATGACAAGTATCTATAACATATCTCCCCCTCAAGTTCCATAACCCCAACACTAGCACGAAGAAGAAGAATTTGAAATTGATAATCTCGTTGGCCTGGGACTCTCCATTTGCATTCATCCCATAGTACTGTCGTCGCAAAGCGAGAGATGCTTTACGTCAATCCTAATTTATACATCTTCACTACGTAACACAACACAATAAATTAACCAACACAAAATTAATACAACTACAAGAACTAACCAAATCAGACCAAACCCACACGAACCCGAATCCCAATCGCGGTCACAATCACAAACAACATTAACATTAACAACCAAACCCCTCAATCCCATCAAAAGCCTCACACCTCACACCTCACAATCCTCCCTCCTAAAGATAAAATTCTAGAAACGCAGCCGCTTCTTTCCACTTCCCTCTCCCAAACCATTACATACACAGGCGACAAGTAATAAGTGCTAGGGTTATAGTGTATCTTCCTTGATTACAAACTTGCAAACAAATATATACCTGTATATCTAAATATTCATATATCTACTTTTCTGTTTTCTTGTTTTTCTATATATTCATCTTTTTATCTTTTCATTTTTCTATTTTTTTTTTACCTACCTACCTACCTACCCCTCAATCTTCCACCTTCCATTTCCATTTCCATCCCTCCATTCCTTCATTTCCAAACCCAAAAATAACTCCAAATATCAAAACATTGAACAAACAAAACAAAAACAAAAAAGATACATCACCCACCCCCTCCAGAGCCCTCCTCCTCACCTCTTCTCTCACACCCCCAATTTATACAAAACCCCAACCCCCTTTCTAAATTTCTATACAGGAAAGAAAAGAAACGAAAAGAAAAGAAAAGCATAACCCACAGCACACCATCATCCTCTCCCTCTCCCTCTCCCTCTCATCAATCATCAAGTGTATACTCGGAATCAGAATCCAACCTAGCTCCCTCCCTCCCTACCTGCCTGCCTGCCCTTTCCACCCACCCACCCACCAACCAAGCCAAACCCATCCCTCTCCCTCTTATCAAACTACAAATGAGCGAAAGTTATAAAATAAACCACAATCAACAGATTCCAAAGAAGATAGAATAAACCATAATCATAACCACAACCACAACCATAACCATAAATACACATACCCCTCAAAATTTGAATGAGAGAAAAGAAAAAAACAATTAACTCCCCATATCCATCCATCCATAAATCCACAGCATTCCTCCTCCCCCCTCCTCCCTTAAAAAGGGGTAATTTGAAAAATTCTATATAGCTAGCTAGCTAACTAACTAATCAACTAATAAATCAACCATCTTCCTCATTGTAGATTTTCAATCCCAAATAATATAGTACGATTCCCTCCCTTATTCTTTTCCTTCCTTCTTCTCTTCTACTCCTCTCACATTTTCCCTCTCCTTCCCTCGCTTCCTTCCCCTCCCTTCTCTCCCCCCAAAATTCCTCTTCACCATCCATCCATCCATCCATCCTTTAGCAATAAGAATCACTTCCCTCAATTACCATCAAACACACATCAAATCTGATTCCAGAACCTCCCATCACCTCTAGAAACCTCACATCGATATGTTCACGAATTCCTTCATATATCTACCTACCTATTCAACACATAAAGTACAATCACAATCACAACTATCAATTCAATTGTAATAAAGTCATAGGCAATAAACTCTTAATTAATCTAAAAGATTATACACAATCGTCTTTTGCCTTCCTTTGAATCTCAAAGGTTTGTTTCCTCACTCCTCCATATCATTCGTTATGAGTGAGGGACGATCAAAATTGTCATATCTTTTCACCCACACTAGCCCTCAATTTCCCAAGTCCTCAATCTATATATCCCATCCATGCATCAAGTTCAATCCCAATCCATTCCATGCAAACCTCCCAAATGGTATAATAAACTTTCTTACTCCCACCCCCTTCCACAAAGACAAGAAAGTAGAAGACAATCAGATCTATTCCATTCAATCCCACTCCTCACCACCTTCGAAAAAAAAAATAAGTCGAAAAAATCGAGTAACAACTCAGGATATCAAGAACCCATCATAAAATCATTTCGTAAAAGGAAAAAAAAAAAAAAAAATCCATCTTTGTATCCAGAGCCCCAACTGATATTGAACCCCCTTGACCCAAGCATGCCCTTTTTTTGTTACGAAGTACTTGCCACGTGCAAGCAAACAAGCCAAAATGTCTTTTTGACTAAACTCATCTTTGTAGGAGAAAAGTTCAAGTGTGTCCATAGCTAGCCAGGAAATAGTTGAACCTCGACTCGACTGCAATAGAATTTTCCCTCCTCCCTGAAGTAACCCAATCTTTCATGAAAAGATGTCAAATTTGCGTGCCATAACCACCTACATTCCACCCAGATGTTCCCCATGACTTGAATTCATCAAAATCAGGATAGATTTTATCCATCATTTGTGAACAAGAGAACATTGAAATCGAAAACAAACGCAATCCATCCCGTATACCCAGCCATTTTTGTGCAAGTCAACTCTCCAACATTAATGAGAAATCGACGAAAGATCCAGAATAACAAAAAACATAGTACAAGAAGCTTACTTTTTGAAGACTGCTCTTGAAAAGCAAGGCCCAAAAAGTAAGAAATAGAAAAAGTCTGTGCATAATTACATTTTGCAATAGCGAGCCCAAACGTGACTGCTATGAATTTTTTGTATAGCTCTGAACTTGAGCACAAAGGTCTAAAAAGCAAAATGTGTAGAGAAAAAGCGAAAAGTCAGTTAGTAAACAATCCCAAGCCTGGAAACCCAAACACCAGACCCGAAACCTTCCAGGTCCCATGCCCAACCCATTTTGAGAAGAAAAAACAACAACAAAGAAAACAAGAAAAAATGTCTAAATTCGCTTGATGTAACGCCGTCGATGTGGTTGAAAAGAAGTAAAGTCGTAAGATCGAGGCGGCCACCGGAAGGCGCAACGCAACTCGAGATCGTGATAGTCGGACATGAATTCCGTGTAGTTTATTATCGAGTAACCCTTGAATTTGATGAAAGGAGACTAGGTAGACCGTTGACGACACCTCTTTTTGTAAACGTAATATGTGCTTTAAAGAGCCACTAAAAGGAAATAATTGAAAACAAGAACTTTTGTGACGGCATATTTATGCCGTGTGTAATCCGATGTATGAATTAAGCAGATCGGTAAACGATTGAGGATTACTTAGCCAACGACAGCTTGGTGTCCTCCATAGGCGTGGTGAGGCATGAAGTATTGCTGTTTTCCTTGAGAAGGGTATTCTGAAGGTTGAGGGTTCCAGATATTCAAGCTGTATTGGTGAAAGTAATGTGAAGGACTGTAATGGTGAGGGCTATAGTGGTGAGGCCATTGATTGTGGAATCGAGTAGACATATCAGGCATAACGTAAGGTGCGTTTGCTGCGGCCATGCACGCCTTCGCATATTGGCTGTACGCAGCAGCATTCCAATCATATTGAGGAGCGGTACTGGTAGCACTCAAATATTCTGGAGTAGTGACACCCGAATCAGGAGCAGATGGTG